AAGTCTGACTAAGCTCGGCCAGGTCTCTCACAGTCTCTCCATGTTGAATACCTCGACGGCGAGACTCGCCTACTCAAGGGCGTGTGCACCGTGACCGCTCAAGCCTACAGATTTTTTGCTGTTTCTCAGCCAGAGGTCCAACAAGGAAAGAGAGAGAATTTCCTTGCGTGCCGTCCTCATATTGGCATTTCCCTATCTTTCCGTGACTGTACCAGACGCTGTCTGCGGTATCCGCGTGCAGAGTGCAGACGTGCAGACGAGGGCGTCGAGGCGTCCATGTGTGTGTCAATGCGCGGCTGTCTGTGTCTCTGGTCTGGCCCCCTCCGTCTCCGGTCCGCATTCGCCGGGCTACTTTATGTCCTACGGATACCTCCGTTCACTGGTGACTGTACGGAGTACACAGAACAGATCGAATACCACTGCGGATCCCGCCCACTCTCAATCACTCGTCAGAGCCATCACACTCGTGACTTGATGGATTCGCAGAAACCCTCTTTTCATCACATTCCCTTGCCCATCTCCATGCTTACTTTTCCTCTTCTTGCCCATGCTCCCTTTGCTGCAAGATTAGACGCATATGTCCCTGGCTTACGGATATTGGGTTGACAGCCTGGACGTACGGATACTCCGTACCTTACCTGCCTTATCTCACCGCGACAGAAGGGCAAGGGGCGTAACGGGACAAAGGACGGCATTGGTTCCACAATTACCCGACCAGGCGATGAATCAGTCTTGCAAACGCAAGCCTCAACTTCCAAGGTCCCTTGAACACCTCACACCGAGGCACCTTGACGTACAAAGGAAAATGAAATCCCAACGTTGGTTGCCTTTTCAATTCAACCGTCCCTCTTTCATCGCCTGTCCGTCGCTGGCCTGGTCCCGTAACAGCCGGCCAACCGTCGTCTCACCGGTCTGCTGTTAGCTAGTCCTTCTTCGCCTTCACTCATCTCCGTCCACGAGTTTTGGTTTCGGTGCCTCGTGGCCATCGTCGTCACATTTGTCCGGAGCCAGCCCAGGTGCGGAATGGCTGGTGCCAGAGCGAACAGTGACAGGTGACAATAAGCGGCACAGTTGGAGTAGATGGGTCGAGTCCCGTCATCCAAGGAGCCTAAATTTGACTCGCCTCGCCCGGCTTTCCCCATGACCGTGTCCAGTCCAAAATGGCCCGTCTCACGGTAACACGGCGTGTGGCCACAGGAGACTGTAATGCCCAGTCAAGACGGGCGAAATCGTTTTTTCTTCAAAAGTGCAGATGCGCTGTCGCAAATGCTCCAGTCAAGGTCTTGAGGCCAAAGACGGCGAACAGAGAACCTCCTCACTTAGATCTGGAAAGTACACAATGCTCGCACATTTCGGACGCTGGTTTCCCTTTACAATCAATCGACCTGGCAAGATGAGCTCTACACAGGCCTGATTTTTTGTAGCAACGAAGAAGCAAAACAGATACTGCGACATATTCGCGTTCGTCGGTTCAACGAGTTCTCAAATCTCATGTCTAGTCGAAGAGGCGTCCCTCCATACACCCATGTACAGACCCCAGCAAGTGATGTGCCCCTCGGATATTACGTTACAGTGCATGTTCCTCTTTTTCCAGGTACACAGTAAGAGTCCTTGGGCCACAGCCCGTGACAGGTACCACCAGCTGCTGTCCATGTGGACGGGCAACGGAGTAGGCAGGGTAGGAGGCTCGCCCAGGCCATGGTCCATGGCATTAAGTCCAAGGGCGTCCAACCTCATAGGGCGACTGGTTCCAGTTGGGGATCGGAGCAGACGAGTTTAAAATTGGACTCGTCCAGAGCTGCTCCCGTTTAAGCTGCTTTGGGATAGCGTTGGATATGAGAGGTTCCCACCAGGCACCGTCTAGCTCGGAACTGGGTCTAGCGTCCCGTTTATTGACTTTCAAATCTCCATTCATGCCATGCTACACCGGCTGACTGGTTGGGCCTGGTTCGCTGTTCCTTGCCTCTATGCCGTCCGCGCTGGATCTGTCTTTTGTAAGTCACTTAGTTTCTAATTGTCGTTGCGCCGTCGCAGGTCTCTTAGCTAGACAAAGTCAGTGGGGGACAATAACACGACGAAAACGTCGCCCACCAGAAATGCGTAAAAAGATACCATCACACCGTGCTTGCAGCCCAAAACATGCAGTCTCTGTTTGGCTGCGCTCACGCGCTACTGTAGGGAGCTCGCAATGTGTACGTCCATGTATGTGCCATGCCACTGCAGCTACCGGCGTCTGACATCGCTCACGAATCCGGTCGAGGGCGCATTCGGCGAGCGACAAAGGCGGTCCACAACATTTCGCGCTCTTGATTAATTGTTATCATCATCATCTCCTTTCGAAATATCAATGGCTGATCCGAGCCCGCTTCTGGGGTGGAATTGAGTTCAACCAACTTGTACAAAGTCTCCTGCCCGAGACCGTCGCCATCGCTTGGGCGGCACTAGGCAGGCCGAATAATGCTGTCTTTGGACTATGCGTATTGGCCATGCCGGCACCGTCTCGAGGGGCTACGAAGCGGTAGCGCCGGTGTGCCGGTGTGCCGGCTCCCACTATCAACTTTGCCATTGCGAGCTGCAGGTATATACAGCATGCGAGAGTCTGCCGGCCAACGGCTTGTCGATAGCTTACGGCGGGAGCTTTCTGCATGAAGTCGGTAATCATCCAAATGTGAGTATAAATGAATCGCAGGAAAGTCCTTTCCGCGACAGTTTCTTCTGGTGCACATGACAAAGTTTCGCTAGTCACCACCGAGTCATTCGCACATAGTCGCCGATATGTATTGTCAATGCTTCCTTGCGTTTGACTTTCAACGGCGCAAATAACGGATATGACAGAGTCAGGTCGCTGCAGGTCGAAGATCTCGTCTCTCCCTCGGCGATCTTTGCCGGTCGAGTCCGTCAGGTATCGATGGCTTGTTCCGGAGTGACTTCCTCCGTTTTGCGACGTTGACACAACGGTCAACAGCTCCAACAGGCGGTGCTCGAGGCCATTCATTCAGCAAATCGGGCTCTTTGGTCAATGCTGCACAGTCAAAATGTACAGTTCGGTAACATCCCTCACCTGCATATCCATATCTTGGATCTGAGTCGCCCACAAGCGCCCCTCCCCCCAGGTTCCTTTCCCGTTCCGTTTTCGCTCCACGTTCGCCATGGGCAGCATCGATTGGCTGCCTGCGCCCACGATGGACTGGGAGTGAGACCTATTGGTGCATTCCATCCAGGTGGCTCCGACGCTTAAGGACTTGGTACAACTATGTCCAGACACTCTGGAGGATTCCGGTATGACAATGGACGCATGATGACGTGCGCAGCAGTCGCAACGATCTCGTCTTGCTAGCAGTGCACCGGGTTGTTGGTCATCGGTCAGTGAGGTCAAAAGCGGTGAGACGGTGAGACGAGGCCCGTCGCCCGCACCGCCCGGGGTCTTCCGTTCGAAACGGCACCGATACTCGGGAGAGGGCCGCCGGTGTTGCGTCCGAGACCATGATAGAGAGCAGAGGCAGATAGTCCACGTTGGACTGTCGTGGATGTAGGGGTTTTGGTGATGGCTTCGCAAGCATCGTCTTTATTTTGTTGCGTGAGAGCCAAGGTTGCGGATGACGGCGGTTTAAGGCAGCAAGCAGCTGCTGCCTCTGCTTTGCGTCGCGAGACTCGACAAAGGAAGGTCCGGATCGAAGGTAGGTACCTAGGTACCTTAGTTGCCTGCCTTAGGTAGGTACAAAATCCAACGAATATTGACTGACAATAGTTTCCATCTTGGTAGGAACTTACCTGCCTTGTCTATCTTAGGTACCCCTCTTACCTCTTTTCACGTCTCACTCTTTCCCATTCTAAACCACAAATGGCACTGAATTTTGAATGTCCTTGGGACACCACTGGTGCAATGGAGGTTTCTGTACGGTTCTTCAGCAGTTCTTTCCCATCAACAGGTCGAAGAGGGTAGAAAAGTAGGCTGCCGTCAAACTGGAACCCTCAACTTCATCTTTTGCAACCTGTGGCAAGAGAAGGGAGAGCGGGCAGGCAGGCATATAGTAAGTGACAGCATGTTCAAACTCACAGGAGGCAGCAAGAATGAGAGGGAAAATCTGGTTGATTGTGCAGGGAGATTAGGCATCATGTATTTTCTTCGTGTTCATTACCTAGACGTCAATGTGTCTTGCCCCTTTAATTGGTATCTTCCGACCAAGTATGTTTTCCGTCACCACAACACCCTTGATTTCTCAGCATGCCTCTCTCTCTCTACCTGTGATAAAGACTCCTTTGGTGAAGCCGCTCGCCTCTTGTTCTCCTTTTCCTTCTTCCCCAAGCTTCGGTAGCTCTCATCTTCCGCCTGTTCTAGTGGAGAGTGGTTGGCTCTTCCCCCCGTTGGTCCTGTTCAACTGCTTCCTGCCCGGGTTTCTTCCATCGAGGTCCATGGTCCGAGCCCCAGGTTCCTACCTTGGATACCTTCCTTACCTTATGATGTAAGTACCTATGGCTACCTTATATCTCGGTCGGTTCCTTCCTTCCTCCTTTCCCTCTCTTCATTGTTTTCGGGCATTTTTCATGTACATCTCGGATGGCGACAAAACGACCTCACCACGCCAATGACAATGTCATGCTGATGCTCTTTAGAATGATGCGTTTCATCTATCCGTCCACAGTGTCCTGCTTCCGCGACCTTTGAAATCTTCGTTCCCCGGAGAAACCTCGCCATATTTTCTGGTCCTGCTGCTCTGCCGCATAGCCCGGACTCAACCAGGTTCGAGATCCAAAGCCGCTCTCATGAGACAATGAATGGATATACTTCGAGTCTCCCGCTGCTGCGTTCACCGCATCCTAGTGGATTTGAAGAAGACCAATTGTCCTTTGGTGACATTCCGGTAGTTCAAGCTCGCAAAAGACCATAGGAATGGCCAACTTCGTTGGGCGGTAGATTCCCTGCCGCTAGCTCCAACCGAGGCTGCTTCGCCGATGGACGCTTTTGTTGATTCGTACGACAAACGAAAAACTCTCCAAGTCTACCGGATGCCGTCGTCATGTCTATACAGATATTCGACCTCAGGGTCGATCAAATGGTCCCCTGGACGTGGTGAATACTCTGTGAAGAGGACGGCAGGAGATCCGGACTGGGACGTGTTGTTCCATTCCAGTGTGCCCGTTGGAATACTGACAAACGACGCAGGAGATGTCTTGTCGATCCAACCGAATGAAGGCAGCTCGAGCCAGCCTCGCATTTCTCCTTCGCCATCATCGCATTTCCATAGCCATTCTGGGAGGTCCTCGAGATCGTTCGTCCAATCACTGTCGTCGTCGTACTCGTCAGGGAGGCCTTTTGATATCGATGCCGACTTCTCTGCAAATGCTGCTAGGCGATCCATGCGGTATCGGTGTACTCGGTCTGCCTTGGCTGTTTTGTCTGTCTCTCGGAGCAGCTTCTCCAAGTTGGCCAATGCTGTCATGGAGATCCGTTCGTCTGCATCCGACGTTAGGGCAATGCGAGCTGCCGACTTGAAAGACGCAATCGCTGCCAAGATGTTACCCATTCGATAGTACTTCACCCCGAGCTCGAGATTCACGGCGGCTTCCTGCTCTTCTGTCATGCTGTACGCATTCATATGAGCCGTCAGCACCTCGACGGCCTCGTCCAGTCGGCCCTGCTTTTCTTTGCAAGCTGCGAGTAGACCAGCATGCGACAGGGCCATATCGCCAAGCCACGAGTGGTCTTGCCCTGACGCCTCAGCTCGAGCGCGGTGGCGGCTGAGCATTGCCTCGCAATCCTCCGGATCTTGTCGAGCAAAGATGCAGTCGAGATAATCGCTGTATAGCAGGTGAGTCAAGTAGTTGGCCGAGCCTACCCGTTGTTCAATGTCCGGAAGCAGCAGCGCATATAATCGCATGGAGAGCTCATAGTAGTCGGAAAATTCGGTCGCGCCCAGTCTACGCCAGATGTGGGCAAGAATGTGATGAGACCCAAGCACAATCGGAATAAGCCCGGCCAAATAATCGAGAACCAGTCGGAGCAGATCATGTTTGTGGTGCCGCTCCAGATACCAGAGCAGGCAGACCGTTCTAGCAACAAAATCTGGACTCTCGGCAGCCACAATTTCTTTCAGGGAGTCGAATGCTGGGCCAAGGACACTGTTGATATTGATTTGGTCCCCTCGTATCATACATCGGTTTACCAGAGCAAAGCTGGCTATGACTCTCTCGAACAAGTCGTCACTGCGGTCTCCGGGGTTGAAACGAGTATTGGAGCATTCGACGTCGAAATCGCACCACCAAGCTCCAGACGAAAAGGAGCCATCGATATAATCTCGGAACAAGCAAAGAACCTGCTCGGTACTTTGCATCTCCATCGTTGGTGCCAAGGCTATCGTTGGGCTCGGAGGCGGCGAGGGAGTTCGGCAGGTCACCTCGAGAGCGGTTTGCACGCTGGGCGTTTGTCCCGCTCTGAATTTGGCCATCAACGATGGGTTTCGCTTCAGATACCGGTTGATGTTCTCCAAATCTACTGGCTGTCCGCGAATTCTGAACTCAGTCGGTCTTTTCAGCAGGTCCCGATCCCGCTTGAGAAGCATAATGGCCAGAACCTCGTCACCCTTGAGTTTCTTGTCGAGGCCCCATTTCCATATCCTCGACTTGTACATTTTGACACTGCCATTCGTCAGTGATCGATAAGCTAAACATACGGAAAGATGAGCTTACGTCGCAGCGAAATGGTAGTCGCGCTGCATGATCTCCATTACTTCCTTCAACGACTTCTTCTCTTCTTGGTACAGCCGGGTGATTATCGGTCGCTTCGTTTCCCAAACTTCGGCAGGCACGCGCTTGCGTGGCTTCGCTGACTGCCCAGGGCTTGTAATTTCGTCAGCTTCGGAATCAGTCGATGTTTTCCGCTTTGGCGGCGCGGCTAGACTGGAAGCTTTCATGGCGCTGGCACTGTCGGTATCTCGACCGGGCAAACGCAACGAGAGTTTGGTATCAACAGCGGACCATGCGCGATGTTTCTGTATCGGCGGATCTTCACTTTCACCGTCATGAGACAATTCCTCGGAAGAGCGCGGGGAATCAGATGGATATGTTACGGATATTTGAAAGCAGAAAAAAGGGGACTCAACGGGTAAGCAACCGTACCGCTAAGCCTGGTAAGGCCCCATCTTCCCGCCCCCATACCAGCACGACCGGTTTACTGGTGGCATTGGACCCAATATCCCCCCTCCCGGCGGCTGCATACCCCTGCAGCGTGGCACTGGCTGCTCTGGAAAGAGGCCTTGCATCTGGTGTCAACTACTATCGACCTTCCCCGAGCGGAATTTGAACGGCCACAAATACCCGCTGAACCGCTGGCGACTCCCATTCTCCTCGCCAGAAAGGGATTTTAGCGGCCAAGGTGACCATCGCCTTACAGGGGAGGTGTAAGTGGGTAAGGCGCAGGGGGCTGAGGGCAAGATGCAGCAAAAGATCAGCAACGGTCAGATGCCAGCGTGAGGCGGTCCAGCAACCCAATGCCAGAGAGAATAGTTGTAATGATGGCGATGATTCGACGGCCATTGAGCTGGTCGGCGTGCCACTGCCACTGCCACTATCGGATGGAGTCGCCTTCTGACGAGCTGCGACAGCCACATTTGGAGCACGACGGGTTGAGAGTGAGTTCGAACAGCACTGAGATCATAACTGCCAACGAAGCTACAAACTGACCTCCCTTGAGTTCTCCATCTCTATGCGCACCACCCAACGTTTTCGGTTGCCCGGTACTGGCTCGAAACAAGATGAGAGAGTTCCAAATTCGATTGCCTGTCCGGGGCGGGGATCCGCCCTGGTACTCAACCATAGTGACCGCTTCGACGTTGTAGCATTTCCTCAACATGTAAATGTCGCTACCTTCCGACCGCAGATTACCATCGAGAGTCGAAGCAAGATGAAATGAGGAGAAGGACTCCGGACAGAGTGAAGTATATGGCCCGCATTGTCCGAACTTGTGGGGAAGGGGTCGGATGTCATTGTTTCCGTACGGAGGTAGAGTCATTACTTCCAGGCCAGGGCTAGTAACACTTTAACGAAATGGATGCCAGGTTGCAGTGTGTCGCATTGAGACGAACGGCTAGGCTTGTTCGGGAACGTGAAAATTGGGAGTCCAGGGTGCGACACGGAAAATCGCCTACTGGACCAGTTGATTGGCAACGTTACGGGTTGCCCATTGGAGAGAGACGCGAGCAAAACTGCAGCATTTGTTGCGCGCCGGCCGCAGAGCCCCCCCCTTGAAAGTCTCACCAAAAAACGGGTCCTCTTTATTGCTTCATACACAGAGACATCTAGGTATTCATACGGTTTTCCCCTCAAGCCAGTCAGTCGGGTCGACACGCCGATTTTCCCGGGGCCGGAAGGCGTGGGGCATGTTCAATGACGGCTCCGTAGACCACGGGTTCAGTCTCTCTTCTTCTGTACGAATACAAAGCAGGGGCGGAGACATCAAAACAAGGTACGCATCAAAGGGCAGCCCAAACCCGTCAAATCACCACCCTGACCGTCACCTTCACGGGAAGTATCTTCCATCAACCATCAGTTCTACGAGCCAACTCGTCATGTTTCAAAGACCGCAGGCACAATCTTTCGACGCCCAACTCTTGCCTCGAGCCATCTGCGTTCTGAGGGGCCTGATGGAAGAGGAGGATGGCTCCCTTTCTCTCCGCCAAGACTTCTTCCCGCGCTGATTAAACTTATACAGAGCCAACATCGCACCCCGGTAATCTAATGTGGATCCTGCTCTTCTCACGTCGCATGGGGCCATGGGCCACCGAGAAGGGTGGCAAGAATCCATCGCCCTGGTTCATGGGCAGACTCAGAGAGGGGGTGTCCGGCAAGGAGTGAAGGGTGACCATGTCATCCGAGATAATGCCCAGCACAGACGCGGGAAGCAGAACAACCATCCGACGACATCGGACGGCTCGCAACCACATTTTCACAGCCTGGGGGTCAACTGCTGCCTGCACACGCTTCCCCCCCTCCCATTGTTCGATGCGAGGCCAATCCACGAAACGACGTGTTTGGCGGGACGTACCTTCAGGCTGCAAAATTCTATCAAGCGTGTGCAATTCCCTGAGCAAACGCCGTTCGAGGCTGCCTCGAGGCTGCCTAAAGTCTCACGTCTCCATCACCCACGTTCCCAGACGAGCCTAACCTTGATCCGCGGCTATCACACCAATCCTCTTTTACTCAGCCTAGTGGGGCCCTGGCGGCCGCTCCTGGTGCCGCTCGGTATTTGATCGACAAGTATCAAGATCTGACGCTTCTCGGTTCCAGTGACGTTCTGCAATTTTGGTCCCCACGCAGAGTCGCTTCCTGGTCACATGTCAAGTCGCTGAAGGCCTCAATCTTATTCGACTTGCGGTTGAAAGACTCTACTGCCGATAATTCGACGGATGAGTCACTCGACAAGAGTCTGCAAAGGCTACATCGAGGCCGTCATAATGATAACCCTTGTCGGTCGGTGTCAGTGGGTGGGAGGTGAAGTCTCGGGGTGACAAGAATGGCGCACGAATGACGCCCTTCTCAAATGACTGCCACACTGCTTGTAAATGGACCGAATCGCACTCGGCGCCGATTATCCTTACGGCCGATCTAGACTACTGCCGTTTGTCTACGGAGAAGCCAAGCCGATCATTTGCAGATGATCTGGATTCGCGAGAGAACTTTGGGATCAGGTCAAGTGTCAGCCCTACGTTGATGTTAGTCAACCAGAGCGCTTGTGGATACGACGTCTCAAAGTCCCTTTGGCGCAAACAGTATTCGATTTCCAAGTCGAACTGTGACGCCGAATGCACTCAATTTGACGCTGCAGAGCTATCGGTTTTGGACCTATTGACGCTTCAGACTGATTGATGACCTACACGATTTTGCATTGAGGCCATTCAGAATTCCGATGGCCAACTTTCGCAATCCGGTCGCGATTGAGCGAATCACAGTCGTTGGGAAGCAGATCCTGGCAACTATGCTCACTGGCGGGCCCTCCCTGGTTACCGCAAGGCACATGATCTGGCACGACGGAACTTTGGTTCAGTAATAACTTCCCGCCATAGCTCCAAAGTTGATGACTTGCTAAGTACCGAGCAGGGGCAGATGATTCCAACGCTTCTCCTCTTCACAACTTCGCCGCACGTATCCTGCCTAGAATAGTTTTGTTTTCCAAATTAAAGAGTTAGTAGCTGCAAAAGTCCTTCCTGGGAAGTGTCATCGATGGGCCTGGTTGAGAAACGGGTCCGGTGAGGCAGTCTTCCTGCTGTGCCCGGCACGTCCCTCCGCTGCCTGCCTTGGGTTGGCCGGGGGGTGTAGGCTGAAAGCGAGAACAACGACTGACCTGGATTTGACTTCCACGAACAGCGATAAGAACAACTTCCCTCTCTACCTATCTATCCTCAGAGATATAAACCTCGTGTGAGACTGCCTTCAGAATGAGCCAACAAGACCAACAAGCCTCTCAAAACGCATTGAGTTACTCGTCAACTCGTCAAGCATCACCCAATCAAGCATCATATACTCAACAAGACGCAAGCGAGCTTCTACGCAAACTTCAAGAAACCACAGTACGCCCAAGCTGGAACCATGAATGAAGATGTTGGCTGACACAGAGTCATTCGACTAGATCGCAGCTTTGAGAACATCAAACAACACAATGGACTCACATGGCGGCAGCAGCTCGAAGGGCACCTCGCCCGATGACAAAGGCAAAGGCTACGAACAGTATGCCATCTTCGACGGCCTTTTCCCTCGGATAGAGACCAGAGGACAGAGCAAGAACTCATCGAAGAAGGGCAGCGGTAAGAAGAAAGAAAGCAAAGGCTCAAGTCAACAGTATGTTTCCTCGACGGATAACCAGCAAGCGGGCGCTGATGGACCGAGCCACAGTTGAAGGAGTTGCGGCTCGATCATGTACGATGGAGTTCTGCCGACTGCCAGGACGTCCGCTATCATCAGAATGTCTCTCTCATACTATTTGAGCTCGGCACGGGGTCGCGGTGCGCAAAGTATTGCCAACTCACCTTCGTGGAGCTTCTCGGTGTTCTACTCCTTGGAGGCGGATAACGGTATGGAAAAGCAATTGCTGTTCGTAGATTGGACCATTGGCCTGAGTGCATCGATTCATGATGACTCTCAACCGGTTTGGCAGGAGACGTATGCGCGAGAAAGGCATTCAGTTGGTACGGAGGGTCCTCCGGGCAGTTGTGGGGGACTAATGAGAATTCCACTTGCTATAGACGGCGTAACATGACGTCGGAGGACGTTTGAATCGAGGTCTGGGGTTTCTATATTCGATGCATTTATTGGATTTGTTGGATTTCATTTCTTCAGGCTTTTTGTCAACATCTTCCCTACAGATATAATCGCTCATCACTCTCCACGAATCTGCAACACGCGTCATTTGTGTCGTTAACAAAGGATTCAGCATCCCGAAGCAGACGGCAAATCGCACTGCGTCTCCGCCCTTCTTGCAACAAGTGGGCTGTGCCATGGCATCTACTATGTATGTTGAACACGGCAGGCAGCAGGCCCAAGAGCATGGGTAAGATGGAAGGGTTTACAGCCCGGCATTCGAGCGGTGACGGCGCTAGAGCCCAGGTTCTAGAGTGCCTGTCAGGGCCCTCGGTGAGTGGCATAGCAGCTCGGTGAGTCGAACATCGTGGTGCTTTTGTGGTGTCCCGCTGAAAATTGGATCCGAACCACATCGGCTCTAACTAACAATCATCGTCACAACCTGCTGGGTGGGCTGGTGCCCGTCAACCCCTTCTCGTTGCCTCCAGATACGGGGCATCATTCCAACGCTTTCCTTGCACCTTCAGGCGTGTCTAGAGCCTGAGAACAGATTGTTCGCAACTTGCAAACACGACCTTAACAACAACTTCACAGCATAAACCCTTCGACTGGAACCAATCTTAAAGAAACAGAGTCAGCTAGTGGTTAGCAGAGTTTTCGTTTGGCGCACTGAAGCCCCCTTCCAAAGATTCCAAGCGAACATGGGGTCCACAAAGCCTATGGCCCTGAACCCCACGAGTTGAGTGTGATCGCTTGACCTCGAATGACCATCTACGAACGGAATAGCGCAGAGTCGGCCGCCGGGTGGATCTCGAGAACACGCATAAGCGACCAGATCACTTCCTTTGTACTGTTGCAAATCGATTCTCCAACTGCCTTGGTAGAAGCGAGCGGAGATGACAAGCGACACTCAAGGGGAGCCCCCACCGCACATTCGAGCTTCTTGGGGTATCAGACCAGGCATCGGCCAGCGGCCGCCGGCAGCCGGGGGGGGCACGACCCGAGGTTGTCCGGACGGCAGAGACATCGCCCGGACAAGTCACAAGCAGCACCTTTCGAAGAGAGCACCTATGAGAGAAAAAGCCAGTGATCCTTGCCGATTCCGACGGCCAATCAGCATGATTGCGTATAAATCTCCTCGACATTGTGCTTACTATTACTCAACCGGCAGCGGCAGCGGCCCCGTCAACACGTAACCACGGTAGGCGGCTATGCGGCGGTGCTGTCGATGCGGTAATGCGGCGATTCCACATCACTTACACTTGCTTTCTCTACGCGTAGGTGCACATGCGCGGGCGGCCGCAAAGTCCGCCTCTCACCCTGACCACCGCTCCACTGATTAATCTCCAGGCTTAGCGTCATCTCCATCAATCACAGATCATTGAACCCCGGCACTCAAACGACCTAGTCTATCATCATCATGGAAGCCCAGCGGGCGGCGCGTGGGGCAAGGCGCGCCACGAACCGTGGGCCATAGGAGCCAAACCCCTGGACCAAGTATGTAAGCGATGAGAGAGAGAGAGTAAGGCAGGTCGCCAGAGGGTGTGCCCATGCCGCGCGCATGAGTTGACAAAAAAGAATCAGCCCTGGCTGGTTGAGTGAGCCCGGATCCCGTCGTTATCCCGCATGCTCCTGCGTGGCCGGTATCCTGGGACCTTTCCTGGGACAGCGGAAAGGATACCTTACAGTAGGGTTCTCTCAAAGACTACCATTACGAAGAGAATGCGAAGAATTGCGGGGGGAGCGACGTTACTCTTCGATGCAAGACCTACCTATCTCATGCAAGTCGGGTCGCAATTGTTCCTCTTTGATCAGATCGGTGCCCTTTGAGACCCCAGGATACCAAATAATATCGAATACGTAAGATATGTACAGTATGCGAGTCTTTGGGGAGGAGCAGCCAAAGTACAGAGTAGAAACCCATGTCTTCCCGTGTTGAGTTATCCGCTCTCTCTTTGAAACCTCCAGGGCTGCAGCGGGCCCTTCCATTTCCCCTCTCTTCAAGGATCGGCCGAGAATCCGAAGGAATTCGACAATACACCTCCGCGGGGCTGCCAGCGGGAGGTGACGTCCGTCCATGCGGCCGGATCACGGCGACGCTCGGGACACGGATAGGGTGCATGGGACATGCCGGGCTATTGTGACTGGGGTTTTGGTTAAGCGACAGGTGCGTGCCAGAGCCCACACGACTTTCTCCCACCTAAGCTGCCATATCAATTCAGGAGGGGGACTCATCCTCATGGCCCGCGGGGGGTTTCTCCTGGTCATGGATCTTTTTCAAATTCGCTCTGGCATGCTTGATAATATACGGGACTGGGCTAAACTAAAGTAGATGGGAAGGACGTTGGTTTTTCGTCCAGCTCGGGCCATGAGGCTATTCAGACGTCAACGGAGGGGCTCGCACCCATTACATCACACACCAGTCCAGTCAAGCCCACTATACAGGCGGTCCACGGAATTTTCACATCAGCGAAGCCAAGCGACTTGCTTATGCAACTGGCTGACGTGCGGCGGGATGCTTAGAGCTAATGCTCTTGCTTCTTCTGCTTGCAGCGTTTCTGCAAGAATGACACCCGCCCCTCCAACGCAACATTGAAAAAAGAAAAGGGACTTTGGTTTTTCTTCTCCCTCCTTGTGTCTATTCTTCTCTCTCTGATCCTCTCACGTGCCGCTTTTTTGCTCCCTTACGGCCGCTGCGTTTAGGCACCCAACCAGCGCACAGCAGCTTCGTTGGAGTGATGGTCGTTTATTGACCCCCTTGGTTGGTTGGTTGGTTGGTGATTAGGCAACAAGACACGCACGAGGCTGGCAAACCTTGCTTGGCCCTTGAGACCAACAGCCAAGTTCTTGTCTGACTTGCAGGGTGGATTGGGATCATCAGAACATGCAAGCACCTTCGCGGCAGAGCAACGATTGTAGCCCTCTGTCTCCGTCTCTCCCGAAGGACTGGTCCCCGGATATTACCCCTTTTACATTATCCTTCCCAATGCCGGGCGGAGCGGACTTTGCGGGCGTGCCAAGACTGTGGACTTTGAGGTGGAAGGGGGGATAAACCGGCAAGTCATGTTTGGCACGCTTTGCGGAGGTTTGCTTTAGTCAAGATTGTATCCGAAATCCCGCCGGCATTCACGTACTTGTTATTGTTCCGGTGGCCGTCGGGATAAGGATGTTGGTTGAAGGCGACTTCTCACCGACTGGCAGGACTTTCCAATCCATCCGGGGCGCGGTGCTTCAGAGATCACGCCCTGTTGATTTACATGGTCCGCCTGTCAGCTTTCCTCCATCACTGCCCCCCGTCCCGCTTCTCCTTTCCTCCTTGCGCCTCGAATTTTTGGGGAAGTGAGGTGGATTGGGATTCAGGCAGCATCAAACGGCCGGGAACGAACGAGGCCCGTGGGAGCCCGCGCTGAGGGCTACCCCTCCTTCTTCCCCAAATGTACCATGTACGGAGAGGGCTCCGTAGATGGGGCGTCTCGTGGCGTGTGCGCTTATACTCCTTGATTCTTCTGTCGCGGTGGGTGTGTGAACCGCATCGTCGTCTGTGTCTCCCTCCCTCCCCCTTCCGCTCGCACGCGCGGGTATCACGCGGTTGGCGTTTAGTGGTTACAGTTATCTGGCGGCAGATACTTGACGATGGGGAATGAATGCGAATACCAGGCAGCGCTTAAGGGTGGGTGGCCTGAGTGGCTCCTATCTGGGCACTGGACTTTTGGGACTTTGGTGTGCTGTGGCCCCTGAGACTACTTCTCTGGGCAACTATGGATGTAACTCGATGGGTGTGATTCGACGGGATTTCGGCTCTTCCTGAATGGAAAGCTGTATATGCATAATTGATGTAGAGGAACTATCCAGGAAAACAGGATTCCATTAAAAAGGAGGGTTCGTCACGAAAATCTGCAGCTTGGTACGCCTGTTACGCCTTCCATTTCGGAGGGTTGAAGCTGATAAGTTTTTACATGTCAAAGTCTTTCTTTCCAAGACTTGGGATAATGCTGAACCATATGGACAATTTAAAATTCGTTTTGTGTCTCTTTTCACGTAGTTCATAAGAGGTAGCTGCTTGGCTGGACCACCCTCGCCGACAAAATGACCAGTGGGTGCAGAGCACAAAAGTGGTGGAAGGGGTCTGACGCCCAATCCATGAAGCATTAAGGATGAAGACTCTCGCGCGCGATACTGTAGAAGAGCGAGATGGGTTGTTTCGACCGAATTTTTTGATCCCGTCCTGCCTCCCTGTCGTGTGATACAATACTGCTGTCTCGAGTGATGCGCTTTCTTTTGTTGCTTGCTTGGATCCGGGGAACGGGAAAACAGTGTTTGTCGTGGGGAGACGTTGATATCTGCTTCGCTTCGTTGGGGAAAGTTGCTGCCTGCGAGGGAGTGACTTCAGTATGTGAGGTCTAGTGGTGATTACATGGTCAAAGATCTAGAGAGGATGTTGGTTTCTTGCATCGAAATAGAGTCTATTCCTGCAGTGTAGGCCTGAAATCTCATCTATTTTTTGATGGTCCGAGGGACCGCGGCACAGGCTATTAGTTGGGAAGTTGGTTGGTTGTACGTGATAGAGCTGGCAAGGCTATCGAGGGGTAAGGTTCAATCTTCCAACAGGAGTTTCTGGAAGGAATCTTGGAGGCAGCCTTTGGTGAGCTATCTCTGGTAGGGAGTTGAGTTCGTCTTGCAGGTTTGGGGGCATTGGTTGCAAGGTGCGTTCCCGATAGCTTGGGGCGAGAACACAGGCTGCTGGTTTAGATACGTTACTTGACGGGGACGTGGAAGATATAGTCGACCTGAAGTATGTTGGCCAATATCCCATCTGTTATTTGGTTACCCTCCAGAACCTGGGTCTTGATTTTTGCCATGCCATCCACATATCAATCGTCTAGATGAAGAGGGCTTTGATTTGATTATGGAGATTAGGAAAGAGCGAATAGACCCAAGGTATAGCAGACTATGGAACCGTTTCAAACAGTCTGGCTGTATTTTTCCACCATTAACCTCTTCTTCATAGCAAAATAGTCAGGATTGTGTTCGGATGCCTCTCACATCTCGACCGACAACTCCAGTTGATGACTCGGCATAGTGCAAATGTTGCCAAGAAAATAGAGAAGAAGCAAGAGAAGAAGCAAGAGAAGAAGGAAAACCAATGCATCCCAAGTAGGAAGAGAAAGGTCTTTCGACGCAACCTGAATACTCTGTGCTGGAGGAGCCTTTGACGATTCAAGGAGCCTGCGCATTTGAAGCGTGTCTTTCCTAGAAAAGTATTGAAGAGCATAGTCACAGCCCTTTTTCAACGCCCTCCTTAGGCAAGAACTCAAGAGCATTGTTCCTTCCTCCAAAAGCTTTCATTCCTTCACCCCAAGACGATAGTACTAATCACCATCCATAGATCAGCAAAGTGCTTGTTGTGCCGTCTCCTTATGGTACCCATTCAAGGGAGCCTACTCATCGGACTGCTACCTTAGCTAAACCCAATCAAAGGGGAACGACCTTGCGAAAGCCGTTTGTCAACAAGAACATCTGTTTACCAGCGGTAGCTCTGATCTTGTCTACTGGAACAGCTTCAACCAAAGGGGGCAGAGCAGAGTAACTGTTGCGACATTCGCACCTTGGTCGGCGTTTACTCATTCACTTCTCCTGGGCCACGTCCGGCGCTGCTTCTCTCGTATTCGCCACTCCACATCATCAGCGAGCTGACAGACGATGGACGGCTTTGCTCAGCTGACAGTGCAATTTGCAACAGCTTCAAGTGAGCATACGTGCACAGAAGCACCTACCACACTTGAAAGATCCCCTGGAGGAACCACCGTGGCCAACTTCCAGTTGCAGGGTTGCCGAGCCCGGAAAGCCAGAGGACTGGAGAAAAGTTAGATACGTCCATGGCGGTGTCATAATCTGTTAAATACTTTGGTGCCTACCATCAGTAAGACCATCGGTAAGAAATCCAAAGTAGTTCGCAATGCCGAGCGCAGGATCTGAGGAATCAAGAGCTAGCCATGACAAGTGTCAGATGCTCTTGACTCTTGATACCAAGGTTTTATGAGACGCTTGGGAATTGCCTTTCCTTCCATCAGAGATTGGCGGGGTCGGCGGCGAAGCGGCAGGCTCTCGACGCCTGCAGGCGGGCTGCTTCAGGTTTCTTTCGAGGGCATCTCACCACGGCATATCTCGGCCTTTTCAACTCGTTTTCCGGTTCTAGTATTGTATGATTATCACAAACTTGTGAAAAGAGACACCAGCAAGATGATCAATCTCAGTGCCAAAAAGAGTTTGAAACCAGCGGTTCCCTACCCAGTCGATTTCCAAGAAGTGACATCGTGGGAGACTGTGATGGGGAATACAAAAAAGACTTTTGGTTCTATTCCATTCCTGTCAAAAATATCTTGTTGAGAAAACTCGCGTTGTCGGTGTCATCTCGCTTTGAACCGCCTCCGTCTTCCCTAGACCAAAGACGTTTGTTGTTGCAATCGCATGCCTGGTTTGCGTCTCCCCATCCTCTGTCGCAGACCGAAACGCCATCCACTTCTTCCCGGGCATAGTATACAGGCCCCATCCTCCGGGGCTCTCGCCGTCAGAACGCGTAGCATTTCAACTACTCAGTTGGCAAATCGCTTCGCCCTCGCTTCCAATCTTGCCTTCTCGGCAGGGTCGATGGCAGCGCTACGCCTGTTGTCGCGATCGCCGCCGCCGCCGCCACCACCTTGGCGACCACCAGGGCGTCCGGTCCTGTTGTTCCTGCCGCGACCACGAGGTCCACGACCGTCGGTGCTCTGTCGCTTGGCATCGCGCCCGGGCTGCTCATCGGTGCGCTCAGGACGGCCGCGCTTGGGACGTCTCTCAGGGAGCGCAGAATCGAGACCGGCTACACTGCCAACCTCGACACCAAACTTCTTTGCGCGGTCAGCCTTCTTCTTGGCCTCCTCGTCCTCGTCGATGCCGAATCGCTTAGCGCGGTCGGCGCGCTTCTTGGCTTCCGCTGCGGCGTCGGTCGCATCAAGGTTGAGAGCAAAGTCCTCCTTTGGCACAGCCTCGGCAGTTTCTGCAGCCTCCTCTGTCTTCTTCTCCTCTTCCCCGGTCGTCTCAGCCTCTGGCGCGACCTCGGGCGCGGCTTCAGTGGCGGGAGCGGCAGGCTCAGCTGCAGCAGGAGCAGGGGCAGGCTTGGATTCTTCGGCAGCCGGGGTATTATCGGCGGCGGCCTTGGTGGGCGCGGGCTCGTCGTCACTATAGTCGATTTCGTCCTCCTCTGCGGTGGCTGGGATTGTTAGGTTGCAATGGACGAAAGCGCGGATTCGGGATCGATTGACGTACCGGGCGCGGATTCCTTATCGTTCTCCTTAAGGCGATTGACCAGATCAAGCTTGTTGCCCGTTGCGGGAAGGCTTCTCTCCTGGAGGAGCTTCTTGAGCTCGGGGACCTTCAGAGAGCTGTAGTCGGTAGCCATGTTTGCGACAGGAGAATGAAAGTCGAGGGGGAAAGGTTAAGTAAATATGATGCCGGAAATATAACGCGACGACGTTGAAGAGGATGCGCAGTCTGGGCGAAGAAGAGATGGACGATGGGATGGGGTGGAACTTGGAGGGCGGAGAGAACCTGGAAGGGGTCGTTGATGGATCGTCGGGGGTTATGACGATTTTTGAGGCGCGTCGTTGCTGCTTTGGTTCTCAGGACGACAGCTTCGGGAAGACGAGGTATGGTAGGCAGGTACCTTCCGGGTTTAGCAAGAAAGGGGACCTTCCAAGCTGCGGCACACCTACTGGTAGCTGGTCGAGGTACGTACTCGGCTATCAAGCTTGTGCAGCTCAGGTAAGCGAGGATGTGGGAGCACGGGCCACTGGTCCTGCATTTGGACCTGGATGTTGTATCCGTCGCTGTCTATGGAATGAGTTCCCGTTGTTGCTGGCGATTGCGAGACGTCTGGAATTGAGTTGAAGAATGCGTCGTTGGGTTTGAGAGTTTTGAGATGAGGGCAGACTTTTGCTTCCAAAAATAGATTGCATTGAAAACGCGGTGACAAAGAAATAGTCAACGGCGTTTCTTCTCTGCGCTTGTCTCAGTAGACTCATTTATTCTCTCCTTGCAGCATTATCAGGGAGCGAAGTGATACTTGATGCACCGTCAATGCAGGTCTTCGGTGCAAAGACAAAGAGATATCAGTTGGCTCTTTGTATCAAGAACATATTTCACGAGACATGTGTTGTAGTAATTGATGACATAAGCAGCCACAATTCACCACCCAAAAATAGGAGAGTTATAGGAGACCTACATGGCCGGCTTGGCATCTCATGTGGTATAGCAAGCAGCACACCCGCGGCAACTCAGCTCTTGCCACCTCATCGGACCCATGTGACTTCAACAGACAGGACGGGAATCCAGGTTGTGATGTACGAGTATGGCGGTGATAAAGTTCTCTATCAACGACGTCGCTGTGCGTCGCGTGGATAATGCGCGTCGTTGTAACTAACTCAAGCTTTTCGTCGTCGCGTCGTCGGTCGTTCGTTCCGTCGTCGAGGGGCAGGCGGAGCCCCAGCTGATCTTCAACTGACACGACACATCTGTCAATGCTTCCTTCTGCCATCCCGATATGACAAGACTTGACGATCGTTATTCCGTCTCGTCTCGTCCATCCTCGAAGCTGTGATAAACTGGGAGCATGGCTGCTGAACAAACTCAATTCGACCTTTTGACGCGCGGCCGTCGTGTGTTGAGTAGGTCTACAGTGAGTGCAATATTCTGCCAGATGTACACACCACAGGTGTCCGTCTCTTGTCTTCAGACCATGCCATTTCGAACCCACATATCCATACTTGGGTTGGTGATGGGGATGGACCGGGACGGGAGGCTCCACTGGCATGACGTTAGAACATGGAAGGAAGCTGTCGCTCAAGTCAAAGTGGACGACGTGAGCGCAATACCTGTCCGGGCTGCTCTTACGTCGCCCTACGGCCCGTGTGATGTGACGCGCAGCATCATGCAGCACAGATGGCAGATGGCAGACTGCACTACCTCACTATGAGGTGTAACGGAGATGGACGCGTCAATAGTTGTCGACTACTCCATGCGCTACGTGTGGCTGCTTACTGTTTCCCCGTCACTCACCCGCCTCGGATCTCTTCTCCTGGCCGACCGGCGCTGGCGGCCCTCACGGAATCCTCGCCTTGCCAGTTGGAGAAAGGAGTCTCTCACTTGGGTGCAATATCCAGGCTGCCAGGCCTTGTCAGGGGGAAAGCCAATGCAACCTTGATAACCTAATCGCGAGAAGGTAGTACGTACCCCCGGTATTCCACCGGGGGCAGACACAGCCCGTGACATGGCGCTTTCAGCAAATGCCAAAAAAGTGCTACCCCGGATTCTGAGGTGGCAGTTGGCTCCACCCAAATGGGGCCTTTATCGACCGAGTCTCGGTTGATTGCCTGGTGCCTTTTCTGCTCCTTTTCTCAACCCCCCCTGTCATCCGCTGAGTTGTCTTTCGAGCCGACATCAAGCTCTTCCGCGCGCCGTATCTGCTCCTCTCCCATCTTTATTCTTGTATAAACGACCTGCGGGCCATGATATGGCCTGGGCATTAGCTTGAACTAGGCTCGCTCGAGCCGATTATTTCGTGTTCGTGTTCTCTCGGCCCACGCGCTGCTACCTCGCCTGATCACGCCGCCGTCGCCGTCGCCGCCCTCAACTCGCCCCGACCGACCTCGCTCCACTTTGCGACAACCGCGAAAGTCGCCCAACATGACGCGCCGCATAGTATGTTCCGCTGCTGCGCTTGGTGACGAGGGGAAGCTTGTACTAACAATGTCTTTTTGCAGGTACGGACGATAATCCAGCTCACCGCGGTGACGCTGCTGACATTTCTCGCCGTCTTCTTCCTCGACCGCAACTTCCGAGTCCTCCCCAAATCGATGCACCACTACATGCCGCAGCACCACCACGGACTGATAGTCACCGATATCACAGTAACAAAATGCTCGAGTATAAACGTCTTCACATCTTGTAACCTCGACACAAACAAATGGCACCGAATCGAAAAGGACCTGTACCTGGGCAAGTCATGGACCACCAGCGCATACGTACACGTCGCACGGAAGAAGGAGGAGGAGCTGCTACCAGAAGATAAGGTAGTCATGGATGTTTCTGTCGGTCGACTCGACCCCACGACTTCTAAGAAGGGAGAGGAGGACGAGAGGTGGGAGAGCCGACCATACGGATTGTGGGTGAAGCGATCTTCCAACCAAAAGGACAGCGACTCCAAGAAGGCTGTCACAGGCATCGATGTCCTCTTTGGCGATGACGCGGTCGAGGCCCGCGATGGCTGGCAGATCACCGGGACCCCCCTTTTGCTCCCTCTCAACGAAGAGGTCCCGGTTACCCACATCACTCTCCGGAGAGGAAGCCAGAAGGAGCCTCACAAGCCACAGCCGCGAATCCCTGAGAACGGGAGATTTAAGATCATACAACTGGCCGATCTCCACCTCAGCACCGGTGTCGGAAAGTGTCGCGATGCCATGCCGGAGGGGTATAACGGCGGCTTGTGCGAGGCGGACCCCAGAACGCTGGATTTCGTCAGCAAGATTCTCACCGAGGAGAAGCCCAACTTGGTCGTGCTCAGTGGAGATCAAGTCAATGGTGAAACTGCTCCTGATGCGCAGTCGGTGAGTGGCGTTGCTTCGTTGGCCTGGGCGCAAACTGACTTTGCTAGGCAATCTTCAAAATCGCCCAAATTCTCATCAAGATGAAGATTCCCTACGTCTCAATCTTTGGTAACCACGATGACGAGGGCTCACTTCCTCGTGCCGCTCAGATGCAGATTCTGGAGTCACTGCCATATTCTCTGGCAAGGGCCGGGCCTGAAGAAATTGATGGTGTAGGCAACTATTACGTCGAGGTCCTTGCTAGAGGCAAGTCGGACCACTCGGCACTCACACTTTACATGCTTGACTCCCATGCGTACTCGCCAGATGAGCGAAAATACCATGGATATGATTGGATCAAGCAAAATCAGATCGATTGGTTCAAGAAGACATCTACCAGTCTCAAGAAAAATCACAAGGAGTATAGCAAGGTTCACATGGACCTGGCTTTCATTCATATTCCTTTGCCTGAATACCGAGATGCGGATCTCGCCATCAAAGGCGAATGGAAGGAGGGAGTTACGGCACCCAACTTTAACTCCGGCTTCCGTGACGCCCTCGTTGAGCAGGGCGTCGTCATGGTCAGCTGTGGACAGTAAGTTTCCTCACGGTTCTTTGCCAGAGCCACAATGCTAATTCTATATAGTGACCACGTCAATGATTACTGCTCTCTCTCGCTAGACAGCCAGCAGAAACCAGCCCTCTGGATGTGTTATGCTGGTGGAGTCGGCTTCGGCGGCTACGCTGGATATGGAGGATACCACCGCCGCATACGTGTGTTCGAGGTCGATACCAACGAGGCTCGAATCACCACATGGAAGCGTGTTGAGTGGGGCGACACCAGCAAGAGGATTGACGAACAGATCATTGTCGAAGCAGGCGGGCCGATAGCCATCAGAGAAAAGAAGGCGCGGCAGGACTTTTGATGTTTGCATATTCGACTTTTCCGCGGCTTGAAGGTGGGGGAAAAAAAGAAAAAGGAAGAAAAAAACGAAATGCTGGAAAACATTTGGAGTTTCGGGCAGGTTACAACCGGTGTTTGGGTTTGGCTCATCAACAAAGTCTCTGAGAAGACTCAAGGGAAATTCATAGCATGTATTATTTGACTCTCTGCTGTGTGAAAGCACTTTGGTGGACTGGAACGATACGAAAGCAGCAGATTGAAGGCTGAGGCGAGGCGACGGACGGCATCGGAATGATGTGTACATGTATCTTTGTAGGAGATGTGACGGCCAATTTTCCTCTTTCTCATCTCGACCTCGTTCATCAAGGTCCGCTTCCGATGGTTATCAACGTGCCTCGTGACCGAAGAGATGGATTAGTCGGCCAAGACCTTTATGGCCACGGATGCGGACTTACAATGCTGACAGGCGTGTGCAGGCGATCCTGTACGCGACTGGCTAGCTGAATCAAGAGAGGCTCTTGTACTCAAATCGAGTCCATGGCTCGTATGTGTTAACGTTAGGTAACCTCAAACGGTGGCGTATCGTCGGATGCCTAGGGAGGGGGTTGCACCCTGACCGGTGTATCCGGGGAGGGAGCCTTTCCATTCCGTCTCAGTACTCACACGCCCACGGGCAGCCCCAATCAGGTCACCGTCTGGTTTCAACAGGCTTTCGCCACCCCCCCCCCCCCCCCCCCCCCCCCCCACCACCCCAAACAACAACACACCCGCCCACCCCACCCCCCCCCCCCCCCCCCCTCCACCAACCCCCGCCCCCCCCCCCCCGCCGCGCGCCGAGTCCAACGCACTAGCGCAGCCCCCCCCGTCCCCCGCGTCCCCCTAAAAAAAAAAAGCAACAGTCGACGACGGGGATTAACTGCTGCCTTGCAGCGCAAGATTCGATCTTGCGCTGGGTAAGGTGAGGTGAGGCTAACTGCGTTCCGTGCTGCGACGCTGCGGCGCCGCGGCGCCGCCACCATGCTCTCCGCGCGCCTTGCATCAGTCACATCTTTGCTTTAGACTTGGTTCCCCACTGGTCAAGTTGATTGTATGCCTGGAACTACTCAGTCCGGCGCCGGTGGATATGATCTTTCTCAGTGACGAGAAGCCTGGAAAGGGCTCGACACGGATGTTCTCATCCAGGTGTGTGATCAAGGCAGAGAGAGCCTTAATCGGCCCGCGATATACACAAAGCTTATAACCCACTCATACTTGCACCGAGCGGAATGCTATTTGGATACGGCACCTCGGGTCTGGCCCGCTCAAGGGCAACCAATATCGAAAGGGTGCTCCCATGCTTTGAATCAAATCTTGCATGCAATTGTGACCCCTTTCGATGTTCCCAACTTCTAAATGCCGAGGAATATCGGTTTGTTTCATGACATGGTCGACGAGCCAAGTCTTTTCTTCACTTAGCCAAGTCTGGTAGACTGACGACCAGAACATCATGTTCGCAAACCCTGCGTCTCTCTCTAGGTCGGTTTGTTCAACTTATGATATACTCGACACTTCAAGGTCCCTGAAGATACTTGCACGCCCGGGGCTACTGGTGCATGAATTCTCGGGCCTGATTTTGATGAATGTTCAAATCGCAGACTCCAAGTCCACGTCTTGGCTACGTCCCAGACGGGCCCGCCGACAGATTGAGTTGCCCTCCCCGTGTAAAATGCCGCTTCTTCGGCAATTCGAGTCGATTTCGTTGAGGATGCAGTTCAGTCTGTGGCGTACTCGTACAAAATAAACTCTTTGGTCGCGAGAACCGGTCAAAAGCTGTCGCTGATTGATTCCTTCTTTCCTGCACAACGAAAACAGGTTCAGCAGTTAGCCAACTGCCGATCGATCGATGGCGGAGTCCTCCACTTGACCTGCCTGACCTTTTCTTGAGCAAATACCGCAGTGGGAAAGCATGATGCGTACCATGCCAGCGCCAAACTCGGGAGACTCTGGACGTGAGCCCCACCTTCTCACCGAGAGTATGTGGGAAGTCCTAGGTCGAAGAGGTGCATCGTACCGTGCCACACGATTCTGCCTTTCTCAGGGTCGGATTAGCGAGGCAGGAGGGGGAAGTTGAGCCCTCGCTTTCTTCTGATCGGGAAGCTGTCGGCCAAGTAGTTGCCCTAAACAATAACAGAGGTGGGAGGAACGTAGTGTCGAAAAGCTTGCCTCGCACACCTGCCGGTTGGTGTATAAAGCTTGCTTGGTGTTCGTTCATCCACTTTCGATGGATTTCTCTCCATCCTCCTCTAGCGTTTGCACATACTGTGATTTTTCGCTTCTATTCTTTCAACAAAGAGGCGCGCTTTTCTCGTTTGGTTCTCTCGGTGATCTACGTTGTTCGTTAATAACCCATCAGGTAAGCTTCATCGGCCACATACCGGTACCTATGCCTTCATAGGTAGAGAGTGTTTCTGACCTAGATAGCTTTCGTTCCCAGGTCACCGCCGCTTTGCGCTTTCCGTCGCGGATTATAACACGAGCGGCTTCGGGAAAACGGTATTTCCCTCCAGATAGTATCGTCGACGTCCAAACATCCTACCTTTAGTAGGCAGGTGTAACAAGGCCAAGCCAGACTCGGCCCCCTCATTCAAAGTGTAAGTTAGCCGGCCCTTCTCCCATCCTGACATCCATACTCCCTATTTTCCCTTTTTCTCTCATTCGTTTTGTCAATTCGCAAGGTCGGTTTTGTTTTCTTGATTAGACAAGGACTGGTTGGAGGGCTAGCTGCCCGTCATCCACCAGCCGATGAGCGATGTGATCGAGATAGACCATGTTGCACCGAGTGTCTTTTTCCCAATACCTTCTTCGTTCCTGACCCTCAAACCAGCCGCAGTCTCACCAGTAGCCTTCCGTTGCTCCTCCGTAGCCATCTCCCTAAGTGTATTCTCGAAAAAATAATCAGCATGGAGAGACAATTTGGAGGATATGTCAACAAGACTAATTTCATAAACGGTATGTTCCCAGATTCTCGAAATTGGTTTTGCCTCCGTCCAAGATCGATAACTGATGAAGAGTTCGAAGCACCACCGCAGAGGGAAGGTAAGTTTCAGGATACGTCTCTGAGAGCAAGAAGAAGAGCAGTTATTAATCCCTCAAATAGAGAACCTGCGTGCCCTCGCTCAGCAACGTCGTGCGGCAAAGGGGAAAGCGAGAGCCACTCGTCTAGACAGCCCGTCAATTACAGCCCTCCAAGGGAATCCGGCAACTTTCTCCATGGGGTATACGACCCAGAGGGAGATGAATACGCCTCTGAGGAGGAACGACAGACAGCATTTGCCGGTATCGTCGCTGCCATCTCCAACGTCGCTGCAGCAATTTAACCAGTCGTTTACGACCCCAAACCGGATTTCTGGCCAGGGCTTGAGTGAACCGGCCGTCCCCCAAGACCTGAGCATCCTGCAGTCTCTTCCGCAGGGCCGTTGTAATCTGTGCCAGAGTAAACGGTACCTCCTGGGCTGGTTTATGTCTGAGGGGCAATTCCTGCCGTTGGCTCAGCCCCAGCCCCAGCCCGAGATCAAGCGAGAAAATGTTGTATTGAACCCGGCTTCGACATCGGAAACCCTCTTTCAGGAGGACGAGACCATCCAATTAGACGACATCGATGAACTCTGGAACCAAATGGAGCAGACCGCCAACAGTCATCAAGAGCAATAGCAAAAGGCTTTCGAGCGGAAAGCTTCCGCGTCAGGTGGACCTGGTTTCGGCCCTGGAGATCTGGAAGATGGGAAGGTGCCGGGGCTTTGAAACTCCAATCTGTTCTTTCGTGTGTGTGTCTCGACAGGCGATGGCGAGGGTGATGTCGGCGATTGTGAGTCGGTGGTGTGAATGGGGTCGCCAAGCGGCAGTCGTGGCTAGATGTAGCATTGAAGCAAGCGATACCGCACCCTAGCCTCGCCCTTCGTTGTTGATCCCCATAGGATTTCTAGATTCAGTAGCAAGCTTCTCAGACATGACCTTTTTGCTACCCTGCGATCTAGGTCGCTTGGAATGAGGCGATCATTTACATTTCAATCTCTGGGGGGTGATGTGTTTATCTTTATCTTATCCAAGGGAACTAAAAGGGTTGGAAGGGGGCATTGAAAATTTGACGCCGTACTGCCTGATGCGGATTTGCCATGTATGTTGAGAACTTTAACGCCAGACTGGCCCACAATCTACGCCTATTGAGTAACACCCGAATGGTCAATCTAGTACACAAACGTCGGCGAGCTCGTGGGCAAGGAGCCATTGTAGCCACATGTTTGGTTGGTTTAACGTTTCAAGGCTACGTACATATTGAGTCAAGTAAGTTCGACAAGGCGATAGAGGTTCTCACAAGCCATCCCATTACTCCTGATCTTGAACTCGGAAAACACAGGTGTCCGTCAATCAACCGTGGACCTACCGGAAGGGCTCATCATTGCTGACGGGATCCGGAGCGCCACGGAGCTTGGCTGCCGAAGGCTCCGGTGGCTGGGATTGCCGCACCCGATACGGATAATGGGGCTGGTAGTCCACGATGACCAAGCCTCATGGATCACGGAGGAGGTGTCCAATTGAGGCTGTGGAACGATGAGCGAAGGGCGCCGGCGCGGCGTATTTGATGCCCTGGAGGCAATCGATCGGCTTACTCATGGCGAAAAGGATGGAATTTGAGAACGTGCTGCACCGGGGCTCCACAGTTCGGCGCGTCAACCGGGGCGCGGGGGAGATGACGACATGTTCCATTGGCTGCCAGGTGGGATTGGACGCTGCAGTGATTTCTAAGCACAAGAAAGCAAGAGCCCCGCGCTCTTCCTGCGCTGCAGACTGTAATGGAGGGGTCACTTTGACGGAAGCAGTCGCACCAAGATGCAAGACACAGCTTCCACGGCCCACGGTGGGGCGCACCTCTGGATTATTAAGGTGGTTAGAGCTTAGGTAGCTGTGGTCGGTCCCATAGTGAGGGGTTGATATAAATGCCCCAGGTAGCGTCACGCCCAAAGTCTGCTGGTTTAGTATTCGGTTTTGTTCTCCTTTGAAAACAACTTCAGTCTCTGCCCTTATTGCAAGATAACGCAAAATTTCCGCAAACCCCTTGCACAGTATCATATGACATCGCGGCTAGCTCAGTTGAGTAAACAGATCTTCAACATGGCTGCCAAGACCAAAACCGACATCCACTTGTACACCACCGGTACTCCCAATGGTATCAAGGTGTCCATTCTCCTGGAGGAGCTCGGCCTGGAGTACCAGGTCACCCCCATTGACATTTCTAAGAACACGCAAAAGGTCGGCATCCTAGAGAAGCTCCAGTAGTGCCTTGGACTGAGAGTCTATTTTTAAACCCGTACCTACAAGCCATCGTACTAATGCCCGAACGCAGGAGCCCTGGTTCCTGGAGATCAACCCCAATGGACGTATCCCGGCCTTAACCGACAAGTTTGAGGACGGCAAGCAGATCCGCTTGTTTGAGTCGGGAAGTATTCTTCAGTACCTCGTTGACCGCTACGACAAAGACCACAAGGTCTCTTATCCCTATGGCTCGCGCGAGTACTGGGAGGTGAACAACTGGGTATGATCATGATCGACTTATACTTAAAACCACGAGAGTCATGAAGCTAATGCGAGAGATGTAGCTGCACTGGCAGATGGGTGGCCTGGGTCCCATGCAGGGGTGAGCTATTTGTCAGTCGTGATGAGAAATCAATGAGCTAACGAATGTGCAGACAAGCCAACCACTTTAAGCGTAAGGCAATCTCGTGATCTTATACTCTCACGGCAGGTCAAGCACGCTAACACTCCGCCAGGCTACGCCCCAGAGAAGATCCAGTACGGCATCGACCGCTACACCAACGAGACGCGCCGGCTGTACCGCACCATGGACACGGCGCTCGCGGCCAACCCGAGCGGCTACCTCGTCGGCGACCGCGTCACCATCGCCGATATCGCCAGCTGGGGCTGGGTGGCGGCGAGCAAGTGGGCGGGCATCGACCTGGACGAGTTCCCCGCGCTCAAGGCGTGGCTGTGGAAGCTGGTCGAGAGGCCCGGCTTCGAGCTGGGCCGCCACGTGCCGTCCAAGCACACGGCGTTGGAGCACTTTAAAAAGAGCGACGCGGAGCTCGACGAGCAGGCCAAGGGCGCTGCTGCGTGGATTCAGCAGGGGATGAAGGATGACGCGGTGAAGAAGTGAAGGGTTGAAAAATAAACATGGGGAAAACCGGCTTAGGAAAAAGACCTATTAGCATTGAATTCATCAAGGCAAAAAAGTAATTTTCGACTCACCTTTTCAAGACCGGAATAAATCATGCATATCTCCATTGATAATTGAGTATAGAGACTGGATTGCGTGGCTGGAAAGACCATCATAAAGCAAGATTCCATTGCAGTCTTCAAGTTCAAACAGTTCCATCGGGTCGGTTAGCTCAGTTGGTTAGAGCGTGGTACTAATATTTCACCTGAAATGTTGTGTAATGCCAAGGCCGGGAGTTCAAGCCTCCCACTGATCACATTTTTGACGAATTTGCCAGTTTTTGCTTGGAGCGATGTATATCTATCGATCACAGAAGGATTGGATTGTTTTGCAAGCTTCGTAGCGGTCAACTAAGTAACTTACCTTGCCAAGTTACTTTTTCTTTGGAAGGACGGTTCAACCGACCGACCGACCGTTGGCGCTAAACTTCTCGGTCCGTGTCACTCGGGTTTTGCTCGTCACGTGCACCGGCCCAGCTTCCAATCCTGGCGTCCAGCAGGTGGCGCACTGGCGCACAAAGTTCGGGCCAATTGGCTCCCGTCCTAAGGTAGCTGAAGGCCAGCCAGGCTGAAATCTTCCAGTTCAGGGCCTCCGCAGCTCTAAAGCAACGGTTCCATATAAAAGTCCCCTTCCTTTCTTCACTGAAATCCACAATCACTATCACACCACGCAATTTCCCCCCTACCGACAGCTTGCTTGCCAACGCGCACCAGTCAAAATGTCGTGGAGAAACCAGGGGATCACGGGTTCCAACAACATCCCTCTCGGGAAGCGCCGATTCGGCGGCGATGATGGTGGCGAGGAGGAGTACCCCGAAGCTCCTCCCAGTAATGGTAACGGCGAGCTGAAGCGCGGTCGCAGCCCAGAGCCCCGTAAGTCTCCGCATCGCCGCATCTCTCCTTGATCGCATCTGATGCTAATATCTTTCCTAGGCACTGATGCCGATGGGCCTCGCCGCAGAAAGAAGAGGAACCGCTGGGGCGACGCGTCGGAAAACAAGGCTGCCGGATTGATGGGGTTGACGACAGCCATCACTGCAAACATGACCGGCGAGCAGCTGGAGGCTTACACTCTTCATCTTCGTATCACGGAAATTAGCCAGAAGCTTCGCATCGACGATGTCGTTCCCGCGGATGGAGACAGGTAAGTTGGTCAAATGTGTCCAGCAACGCGCGGCCACCTCACTAACTCTCACTGCCTCCAGGTCACCCTCTCCTCCTCCTCAATACGACAATCATGGTCGTCGTATCAACACGCGCGAATACCGATACCGCAAGCGCCTCGAAGATGAGCGCCACAAGCTCATCGAAAAGGCCATGAAGACCATCCCTAACTACCATCCGCCGCAGGACTACCGCAGGCCCACCAAGACCCAGGAGAAGGTCTACGTGCCTGTTAACGATTATCCAGAGATTAACTTCAGTATGATTGCTAACCCTCTAACCCTCCTAACCAAAATTCTTGTTTCCCTTGTTCCCTGCCTGGACTCTGGCCAAGCTTGTCATGCATCCTCCAGGTGTCTTGTCAGACCTGGCCTTGTTTGGAGACTGGGACCGTCATAACTTGCTTCACCCTTTTGATACGGATACTAACGCCTAGCTCTCGTCGTAAAGTTGGCTTACTTATCGGACCCCGTGGCAACACATTGAAGAAGATGGAGGGAGAATCTGGTGCCAAAATCGCCATTCGTGGCAAGGGCTCCGTCAAGGAGGGCAAGGGTCGTTCGGATGCAGCTCACGCCAGCAACCAGGAGGAAGACCTCCACTGCCTTATCATGGCTGATACGGAGGAGAAGGTCAACAAGGCCAAGAAGCTCATCCACAACGTCATCGAAACGGTAAGCACACCCCCTTCAACGTTACTTCCCAGCGAATACTAATACCCCTCTTCTATTAGGCTGCGTCCATTCCTGAAGGACAGAACGAGCTCAAGCGGAATCAGCTGCGTGAGCTTGCTGCCCTCAACGGTACCCTCCGTGACGACGAGAACCAGGCTTGTCAGAACTGCGGCCAGATCGGTCATCGCAAGTACGACTGTCCTGAGCGCCAGAACTACACTGCCAGCATCATCTGTCGCGTGTGTGGCAACGCTGGACACATGGCCAGAGATTGTCCCGACCGGCAGAAGGGTGCCAGCTGGCGAAATGACGGTGCCGGTAGAGCTGGCGATGCTGGCCGCATTGAAGGCGGAGACGCGGTTGACCGCGAGTACGAGGTACGTTTTCAGACGTTCCCGATCCGCAATCCGATACTGACTTGACAATAGCAACTCATGCAAGAACTCGGTGGCGGCTCAGCCGGCGGCGCTGCTCCTGCACGCATCGAAGCCGGCCCTGGTTCCTATAACAACAACAACAATAACAACGGCCCCAGCGGCGGCGATGCTAAGCCCTGGCAGCGTGGCCCTACCGGCGGTCCCGCTCCCTGGCGCAGCCGTAACAACGAATCGCGCGATGATCGTGATCGCGGTGACCGCGACCGCGACCGCGACGGTGGTGGTGGCGGCGGCGGCGGCGGCGGTGCTGCTCCTTGGGCCCGCGATCGCAGCCGTCGTGATGACCATGGGGGCGGTCACGGCGGCGGCGGTGACTACTACGGCGGTGGCCAAGGCGGCTACGGTGGTCAATCTGCTGGCGCTGCTCCGGGTGCCGCTCCCTGGCACCAGCCTCCCGGAACTCAGAACGGGTATGGCGGCTACGGCGGCTACCCGGGATACGGGGCTCCTCCTGGCATGGCCGCACCCCCATCTGGCGTTCCTCCTCCGCCTCCTGGTGCTCCTGGTCTTGGAGCTCCTCCAGGGTTGGCCGGTGGCCTCAACGCTCTCATCCAGCAGTACGCTGGAGGCGCCCCTCCTCCGCCGCCCTCAGACAACGCTCCTCCTCCGCCTCCCAGCGACCAACCTCCCCCACCTCCCCCTGGTGCCTGAAGTGGCTTACAGGAGCTAGGTGGAATACCAGGCGACTAACATGGATCCTAACATCGTATCTGCGCACCGACCACGTTGACAACTAACGATCAACTAACAACCAAGGATTCATCATATCATGACTTCCGGGGTTGGACAAGTGTTCGCACCTACGCACCAATGTGTTCATTCAAAATGCCTAAAGTCCCTGGAGCGGGCAGCACTTAACGCAAAAAGCAGGATCAACAAACAACGGACACAAGCTACAAAATTGTACGATAGAAGGGGCATTCTAGTGGACACTAATCCATAGGCTTTTCTTTATGCATCAGTGCGTTTTTTTTTCGTAGCAAAAAGATGAAGTTCATCCTAACTCAGGAAACCCAGTCTGTTCACGTGAAGTTATTTGTGACACTAGGAAGCTCAAAGCGGTGTCTCGGAGTCGGATCTGAGTGCTGTGGGAGGCAAAGTGAAGAAGGAGGATGATGAGGTAGCCAACAGTCAGCGACAGAAACTTTGGATCGTGGCTCTGATATCCAGTCATCAACATTTCCCCGAATCCAATCAAGTTGCACGGGGCCAAGAGAACCAGTCGCAAGTTTTCTGGGCGACCTTGCATGAGTTCCCCGCATCGATGACATTCGCCTTGCAGATGAGGTGGATGGGTGGGCTGCATATCGGCCGCCGTTGGCGCTCTAGAGTCCAGAACAGAGGACAGGAGCTTGGGCCATCTACCTAGATACCTCTAGTTTGGTGCAGCAAAGTGAGGTGCAGCAAGCATGCCTAGCAGGCAGCTCCTACCATACTACCTTACGCTACTACTACTACTACCTTACCTTACCTTAACCCACTGCGCATCATCCCAGGCCGGGAAGGTGTGTGTCCCAGATCTGGCATGACGCCTTCCCACACCCTGAGCGCGGCGTTTCCACCTCCAGCCTCCTTCATCAAACGCCCAGAGGCTCCCTCCCGTCTGTCGGCTGACAAACTTCACTCCGTCGCCTTTGTTTGCCTTCATCCATTTCTCGTCAGCTTCTTCCGTGATCCGTTCGTTCCCCCAGCTGATCGACTGCTGTCGTTCTTTCGCTAGGGTGTTCCAAGCCAATTCATTGCGCCTCCAGAGCCTGTATCACTAGTCGCAATTATCTATCGCCTTGCCTTATCTGAGCTTCCCAGGGCTCCCCGTTCACGCAACCCCTCTGCCGAGCAGGCTCCGGCCATCTCCGCAGCTTTTTCTCCGAGGACGAAACAGTAAGACTCGGAGCTTTGTAGTTTCTCCGCCGTGTCTAGCCGACCTCGACCTCGTAGCACCTACATTGCGATTCACCAACAACACGCGTCAGAGGAATCATTGGATAACTCAAACAGCATTCGGTAGCAATGGCTGCCAAGAATCCCTTCGGATTCACGACAGGCCCGGTCACCTTCTGGCTGATTGTCGTCTACGCAGCCTTCCTCATACCCCTCGTTTGGATCCACGAATCCGTGCCGTCTGTTCCCAGCCACAATCCCTACGCTGGCGTCAACGTATCCGAGGCCTGGCAAGACTTGACACACATCACCAAGAACTACCATCCTTACAACAGCCGCGCCAATGACGAGGTCGGCGCGTACCTTTTAACAAGGATCGAGGAGATCTTGACCCGCAACGGAGTCGACTGGTCCAAGGAGAAGGATGCTGGCGGCGTCGTATGGCCTCAAGATGTACAGTGAGTGCATCCTGCATTTCGTTCTTGTGCCGAGGAAATATGCTGATCAAAGGTTGCTGCAGTGATACACCAGCTCTTCCTCGCAAAGATGCCTTTGAGCGTGCTTCAACTGGTCCCGCAGTAACCGTCTTCGACGACATAATCTCGAACGTGACCTATGCTGGCACCTCTGGCCCACTCGGCCAACCTGGTTCTTCTGCTTACGCTACTTACTTTGAGGGCACGAACAAGCTTGTATATATTCGCGGCACGGAAGACGAAGACGGCGAATGGTGGAGGGGCAAACGTGACGCACGAAATATTGGCCAAGGCGGCGTTCTCGTCAATGCTCATTACGACTCGTGAGTGGTATAATCTTCGCTATACCCGGCTAGGGTGCTGACAAGCGAGCAGAGTGTCCACTGGCTATGGAGCCACTGACGATGGCATGGGCTGTGTAAGCGTTCTCCAGATGCTCAACTACTTTACTTCTCCTGGCCACCAGCCGAAACGTGGAGTTGTGCTGTTGCTTAACAACGGCGAAGAGGACGGCCTGTACGGAGCCAAGGCCTATCACTACAGCCCCCTCTACCACTTCACTACCTCCTTTGTGAATCTTGAGGGTGCTGGTGCGGGTGGGCGAGCCATCCTATTCCGAACCACTGATTTGGAGGTGTCCAAGGCCTACGCGAATGCCCCCCACCCTTTTGGATCCGTTGTTGCGGCGGACGGCTTCAAGCTTAGAGCGATTAGGAGCGAAACGGATTACAAGGTGTGGGTCGAGAACTTTGGACAGCGCGGCCTCGACATAGCATTCTATCGACCCCGGGCACGGTACCACACCAATCAAGACGATGCCCGGCATGCGTCGCAAGACAGCCTTTGGCACATGCTTTCCAACGGCCTGGCTGCTGTTGACTCCCTACAGAAGACCACGGGCTCCTTCACTGGTAAACGAAATGACGGTGACAAGAAGAAGGTTTCGAGCGGCTCCGGCACCGATGGTGTGTGGTTCGATATGTTTGGAAAGGGATTCGGAACTCTTGAGCTTCGTGGCCTCTTCGCGTGGACATTGACTTTGCTCATTGTGTCTCCCCTAATCCTGGTTCTCGTCACCTACCTTCTGTCTAGACAGGACAAGTACTACTTTTTTTCGCGCAATGTCAAGCTCGATTTTGACGACGAATCGATTCCTCTCGGTGGCTGGAAGGGCTTCTTCCGCTTCCCCCTCGCTCTCGTTTTCTCGGGCGCGATTACGGTCCTCTCCGCCCTCTTGATCCGGAGACTCAACCCTCAGGTTGTTTCTAGCAGTCCCTACGCAGTGTAAGTCCAAGGCACGCTTTATGCTACGTTGTATCAATTTGTTAACGTGGTACACCAATAGCTGGGCAATGACTTTCTCCCTGTTCTTCATTGTATTCTGGACGATCTCGCGAGGCGCCAATGCCGTCAGGCCGAGCGCTCTTCAGCGTGGGTACGCCCATATCTGGCTATTCATCATGAGCTGGGCTATCCTCGTTGCTGTTACGACCGCGGCCGACAGATTTCAGATTGCTTCGGGCTACCTCTTCGCGTTCTTTCATTCCGCCGTCTTCATTGCGACGCTCATCACTCTCTGCGACCTGTTCACTCTGCCAAGCAAGAGAGCCTATGCAGAGACGGCGCATGACGATCAGCAGGTCAGGGATAACATATCCGAGGTTCCAAACTCTGACGCGTTGATCTCCCCGAGTCCGCACGAAGAAAGCGCTGCAGAAGAGCCTACGGAAACAACGCCGCTTAGGAGTGGCGAGAATACCAGTGGAAACAATGGCACGATACGGACGACATTTGCAACAACCTACAGACGCTCGCTCTCGGCGATTTTGTCTAACCCAGATGACGATGCTCATGAGGAGACCAAGGAAACAGAGAAGCGACCCTATGAGAAAGAACAACCGTGGTCAGCGAAGCTCCCATCTTGGACCTGGTTTTTCCAACTGCTTCTACTTGCCCCGATCACCATCATCGTTTTTCTCCAAGTCGCTCTATTCATCACCTCAGCCATGCAGTCCATTGGAGCCGATGGCGTGGATCCTTTGCTGCTCTACACCGCGATCGCCGTCTTCAGTATTCTTATCCTTTTGCCTCTTACTCCCTTCATCCACAGAACGAGCTACTACGTGCCGCTGGCCCTGCTGTTCGTTTTCCTCATCAGTCTCATCTACAACCTGGCTGCCTTTCCTTTTTCCGCGAACAACCGCTACAAGGTCAAGTTCCTGCAGCATCTAGATCTGGATCACGGGAACTCTTCAGTTTCGATTCTCGGCCTCCAGAAGTACGCACGCAAAATGATCGACGAGCTGCCATCTGCGGCAGGTCGGGAAGTCATTTGCGAACCATCCTCTGGCTTGCTATCCGAATGTCGGTTTGATGGATCTGCGGTAATGCCCAGACTGCCAGAGCTCAAGAGCACTTTCTCTGCTGATTTCATGTCTTTGGCGGATCCGTATAAACACCTTATTACTGTTAACATCAGCCACTCAAACTCGACCAACGAGTATTCGCTTTGCATAGACGCCCCAGAGTCAAAGCAATGCACTCTTAATTTCGACAACGGGGTGACGTTCGACATCCGGGAAAGCGCCGGCATCGACCCCCTCTTCAGTGGACCGACTGAAGGAGGCGTAAACGGTATTACGCTCTGGCGGAGGGACTTATCTATTCCATGGACAGTGGACGTCAAACCGGCCGAAAAGCTCTCACTGGCGGCGGTAGCAGGCTCCGGTAAGCCAAGTATCGAGAAAGCTCACGATGAACTCCGGGTTCGAAAGCCTGCAGGGTTCAGCGGAATAATCTCGTGCTCTTGGAGCGATGCCAACGTTCGCGGGACGATCCCTGCCTTGGATGAAGCTTTGCAATTTGCCCCTGACTGGATCGCCGTCACAAAGCAGGATGTAGGCCTGGTCAAGGCATCCAAAAGCTTCAAAGTATGAGCGGCTGTACGAAACACTCCCTTGTCGACCTGACAAAGATGATCATACTGTATTCGATGGATTTGTAGGGACGGATAAGCAAGGTTATGGCTAGAGCCTGATTTTGCAGGCCACGAACCCATGGGATGAAGCTGGAATGGTGTTTTTCTTCGTGTCGTTTGACGAGCTGACCATCGTTCATTGGACGGCGTTTTTGAGAGGCATTCTTTTGCATTAGCATGCGATCATGGGACACAGCATAATCACTGGTGGCTAGGCTGCGGAGGGGTATTGGAAGCATGCGTAAGAGGTATCAATTTGAAGTATCATTCGAGGAACCTCTTCGTCGTGATAGCGTGAGCTCTTCAGCCACCGTGTTCAGCCTTACAATGAGGGTCATGGGCGCTTGCCTGCCTCTTATGGCGTGGATGTGCTTGACTCTGCTGATGTTGGTTCGAGGGATGCTCGGAAACCTCTAGGCATATCCTGCAGTGTACAGTTGCGGAAGGTTTTACACAACGGGGTATCATTATATCGGTCTACCAAGTACGGTAAGTTTGCTGAAAAAGCACGCCCAATCTGAAGGCACTTACTCTCATTCTCATGCCATCGCCGAGTCGCCTAGTAATTTCCCGGGGTCCAATTTTCTAGACCGCAACTTTCATTCCTGCATCTTCTCACCCTTCGCATTGTTCGCCTCCTCCACGTCCCCTGCGTGATACCTCTCGAGCAGGTCCCTCATCTTGGCCCACAGTTCGGCCTCCATATCGCGCTCGACCTTGTTGTTGCGGCTGTTGAGCCAGCCGACGTCGAGGTTGCCGATGGTGCCGACGCCGTTGGGTTCGAGGGAGGGCCTGGCGACGATTTTGGCGTCCTCATTCATGACGGGCTGGCGGGATTTTGGGTCGTCATTGCGGAGCTTGATGATGCCTGCTTCTTCAAGGCCTAGGATTTGGCGCTTCATGTGAACGTCTACTGTGTGCAGAGTGGAGAGGAGGGCGTCCATTGAGGACTTGAAGGTTTGTTTTTGGTGGGTTGGGTTGGGGGTTGTTATTTGAGCAGCGGCTGACGAGGAGTCTGATGAAGGTTTTGGGGAAGCGCCGAGGGCGGACAGGGCGGAGGAAGTGTGGGACATTAGGCTGACTATTTTTGTGTCGATTTCGCACAGTTGTTGGATGCGTTCTTCGAGAGTGAAGGGTTCGTTTGTGGCGGGGCCGTCGGCTGCCATCACTGTGTCGGCCATTGTTGCTGCGGGCAAGATGGGTCTGTTCGTTATTCTATGGGGAGTGAGTGAAGTTGACGAATCTATGGGATTGAGAAGAAGACGATAATCGTGAGTGGTTTCAATAAGTGTGGTTCATAAGATGAGAAGATGAGGCTGAGTGAGATGATGTCCCAATAAGTGAGCTTGCGCCAGGTGAGCTCCAGAGGTACCTTACGTAGGTACCCGATGAGAGGCTCCTTCGCGCGTCTGGGCGAAAAGGTGGGTCCGACCGCGGGGAGGTCGAAGCTCTCTCCCAATGAATGAGGTTAGAGAGGTGTGCCTTATGCCTATAGAGGATTAGCGCTGTCCCTTCCTGATATTTTCCGCCGCCCAACTTTGACCTCACACGTCTTTCTGTGCAGCCTTGCAGTGCAGGGGACGACGGTGCCTCATTCATCGGGCAGGACGCGGCATATAACGGCTTCCATCGAATTTATCATCAAAACTCGGGTTTCCGAACCACATTGCCCAGTATCTTTGAAGATACAGGACCCAGCTCATTAGGGGATTAGAGATTGCGCACTCAGTCCACCCCATTTACTTCGACGACTCACAACACCACGTCTCACCCGACGACTCACGACTAATGCGCCGATAGACTTGAAGGCGCATCACGACATTTTTTTCATCCAGATCAACGTCAGACCTAAGAAAAACCATCGGAAAAGTCGTAAAAAATGTCGGGAAACCCGGCCCAGCCAGGTGCCAGCACCACCCCAGGCGCCCCTGGCGCAGGCGCAGGAGCAGGCGCGTCGGGATCCTTTTCACAACAGCAGCAGCAACAACAGCAACCTGCAGCGACGGCGACAGCGCCGCCAGCTGCCCCTGCTGCCCCGATTAGCCAGACGCCGATCCCGCCTCCGGTGACAGCTACCCCTGCGCCTGCGCCGGCACCAGCTACCGCGCCGATGTCGAACCAGAACCTGAATCAGATTGTAAGTTGGTGGCCTTGTAAATTTTTGGTATTTTCATGGTATGCTTGTATTTGGTGATGGGAGCATGGGTGTCTTTTTTTGAAGTTTCTGCAAGTGTAGCGACTATGGTGAGATTGGTGTTGGTGGTGATGGCAAGTGCTGTAGGAAAGTGAAAGATGGGATGGAAGGTTGAGGGCGAGGGTGTTTATGCCTCTGAGGGCAGGAACCAAGGTGGCGGTAACTGCTTCTTTCATCTGCTGGAAGGATTGCAAAAACCTACCTGAGAGGTTTGGCAATTCACACTTCTTTCTGTCTGGCCTTGCTTGTCTTTTCCTCGCCCGTCATCCATCTCCACACATCATAGTTCGCCCACGTCCACAGTTACCAACCTCCAAATTCCTCTTTGTCATCCTTTGACCTCGAAACCTCATCGAAGTTAAGGAGGATGACGAGCATGGCCCATCTCAATCGGAAAGAAGAAGCTGAGGTCCTACCCCAAATGGTAGGTGAAGGCGGCTGTGGCTCTGGTGATGCCGTTCGGGTTTGACCTGCCTCACGTTGTTGAGTACGGGGTTCTCGTGGAAGCGGAATACCCCTCTCCAAACACCTGCTTGGCCTTTATTTTTCCCTCAACCATCATTTATCACCATTCTCTCTCCATCCTCTCCCTCCTCCCCTTCTACCTCGACTTTCTACACTCTTCAACGCGAGGGGGAAAAAAAAACCATGGCGGGGGGCGACCAGGCTGCGACAGCCTCAGACCCAAAATGGACATTTGAACGCGAAAAGCAGATAGTGAAGCCTCAGATCGCGCAGACTTGCCTTTGCGGAGTTTTGGTCGACATTGCTAACGGGTTCTAGGTTACAGACTATCTCCTTAAGCGGGGATACACCCGTACCGAGACGATTTTCCGTCAGGAGTCTTCACACTTAGGCCCTGACGGTAGGCCCATTCACAACAAGGTTGATGATTTGGGCCCCAGAAAGTATCTGAAGGCGTTCAACTTGCTCCGCGAGTGGGTGGAGAACAACCTCGACATTTACAAGGTAAGCCTTCGGTGGCTCATCGGTTCTGCTTAGTCAGTATAGCTAACCTGCTCCAGTTCGAGTTGAACAAGCTTCTTTGGCCTGTTTTCGTCTATTCATGGCTCGAGCTCGTCACGCAGAACTACTCGGAGGACGCAAAGACCCTCCTCAACACCCTCAAATCGTACTTTGAGAATGTCCACTCCGACGACCTGAAGACCTTCTCCACCATCACGCTGGCTTTGCACGCCAAAGAGAATCCCACCACCAAGCTGTACAGGGAGAACAAGTACCGCGTTCCGCTCAACCAGCACATCAGCGGCAACCTCTTCCACTTTCTCGAGCGTGAGCGGGACAACGGAGGTGCCGTGATTCTGTACATCCTCTCGACCTTCTGCCAGCTTGACTCGACGGCCCGTGGACCTATCGAACCTTTCAGCTTTGAGGCTATCTACCGCCGATCCCAGAACCTAGACATCGACGAGGTGGATCTGCAAGAGGGCATTCCTGGAGTCTTCACCGGCATCTCAAACAGGGATCTCCTGGACAAGACCGTGCCCCTCAAGCTGGGCCCTTTGCCGATGGAGGAGGACCTCCGGGACGATGTCAGAGCCGAACTCCAGGATGAGGATGCGCTGAACCCTCCCCCCGATGGCCGCCCTACACTGGTCGACGAGTTTGACCGCAAGATTAAGCGGGAGGAGAGCGCCGATGGTCCCACGAGAGCCGACCTCCCACTCCCCCCTTCACGTGCTAGAGACGTTGTCATGGAGATGCAGAAGGTCAGAGAGAACCGTGACCGCTTCAAGATTGACGGACGTACTGGTGGTGTGGGCGTTCCTGTTAGCGCGTGCATGTTCACTTTCCACAACACTTTAGGAAGGCAAGTAGAATCTTCTTGTCCGCTGAACCTGACTAACTGATAGATACAGTGTATCATGCATGGACTTCTCGAAAGACCACGAAATGGTTGCTATTGGCACCACGGACTCTTACATTCGAGTCTGGCATCTCGAGGGCAAGCCTCTTAAGTCGAAGCGCGCCGATGAGAAAGACTTCAAGTTCAATAACCGCAAGCTCATTGGTCACTCAGCCCAGGTGTACTCGGTTTCCTTCTCCGACGCCATCGCCAAGCTCGACCACGCGCCATTCGGCGAGGAAGGGAAGGGTGAAACTCCTATCGAGACAAGCTCCAAGCTGCTGCTGTCTTGTTCTGCGGATGGCACCGTCCGTGTATGGTCGCTGGATATCTGGGCCTGTGTCTGCGTCTACAAGGGTCACGACGGTCCGGTACTGAGAGCCGAGTGGGGTCCTTTCGGCCACTACTTCTTGACTGGCGGCTGGGACAAGACTGTTCGTGTCTGGATGCAGGATCACGCATCCGCGCAGCGCATTCTCGTCGGTCATGACTCCAGCATCTCGGCCGTCGCCTGGCATCCGAACGGAACGTATGTGTTCTCAGCTTCCGACGAGACGGACAAGTCTGTCCGCATGTGGTCTGTCATCACCGGCCAGTGTGTTCGTGTCTTCACCGGTCACACGGACTACATCTCCACCATCGAGGTCGCGCCAAACGGTAGGATCTTAGCCACGGCTGATTGCAGCGGTAACATCTTCTTCTGGGACATCCAGAAGGGTCTTCGCATCAAGCGTTCACGCGGCCACGGTAAAGGCGGTATTTGGTCAATGAGCTTTAGCGTCGAGTCCAATGTCCTGGTTTCTGGCGGCCAAGACGGCACAGTTCGTGTCTGGGACGTTGAACTCCCCGCCGAGGGTCACAAGGCCGTTCAGCAACAGCAAGGGGCGGCGCCTGCACAAGAAGGAGGCGATACCATCATTGCGGCCACTGGACAGACGGAGCGACCGAATGCCGGCGGCCAAGGAGCGACTGGCAGTGGATCCAACGCTCCCAGCGGTGGAAAGAAGAAGGGCAAGGAGGTGATGATTACACCCGACCAGATCAGCGCGTTCCCGACCAAGAAGACACCCGTCATGAAGGTGCAGTTCACGCGCATGAACCTGATTGTGGCCGGTGGCTGCTACGATCCTGACCGCTAGCTGTGAGTTTTCAATTTTTCGCTGCGGATCGGAATTTCGTCGAGGGAAAGAATCAGACTGTTTTCATCTTGAGTTTGGCGTTGGGGTCGCGGTGGTCGACAAAATGTGTGACTCTGGCGAGGTAATCCAGGTCTGGGACAGCAAAAATGGCCTGGTTGCTGGTCTGTGTAAATCATCAATGTAGTAGATACCTCTGGCTATTCTTTCAATTGGGAAGGTTACGAAGCCAATAGTGCCCGTGTGCTGCCGTAAGATCAATAAGAAGGTTGTACCTATATTGAATCGTGCCTGCTTTCACACGGGAAATGAGACGCTTTTGCTCAGCGTACCAGCGTCGTTCGAGGAGACGGGAGCAGTGACGTCGAGTAAGGTAATTAACCGCAACCGTTTAAAGCCTCTGGGGCAGGTGGGCAGGCGAGCAGGTACAGGGGCCTTGATGGGCTCTCAAGTCCCAATCGGGGTCGAGTGGCTGAAGCTTCCACCGGGGCCACAGCGAATCAGGTGGTGCGGAGCAGCTGTGCACCTTTGCATTGAGCCTCCGTCAGTCAGACACTACCAGAACCGGTCGTGCCTTGAGGCGTGCTGTGCTGCCTTACCTTGTCTTGCCCTGCGTAACCTGCCACCACCAGACCACATCCCACCTGATTCACCACCCATCGCCCGCTTTCCGTGGTACTCCAAGGCCCGTCATCGACTCGATTCCATTCCCACGAATTATCACGGCCACTGCGTATCGAGCACCAAAGAATGGATCCTCTCGAAGAGTCGCCATGGGGCGATTCGCAACCCACCTCCGAGCCCTCGACCCAACAGCAGCCCTCCCAGAGTGAAGAGTCAACGTCGCAGCCGGCGCTCAAGTCAGAGGCATCCAGCACGGCGTCCGCACCTCGTCCGTCACGCTCAGGACCTGTGCGCCGACTCGTCTCTGCCCAGCCTACCCGCCTCGAAGCCGTCGACGACCCCCTCGGTCCCTTGGGTCCTCTCGGCGCTCCCGCCGCGGCGGACAATGGCGCCGAGGCCGGTCAGGATGCTCCGCCCGTCCCGCCGCAGAAGGAGCAGATGGTGATCCGCACCTCGATGCCACCCCAGCAGGGCCGTCGCGCCGGTCCTTCTGACCCTCACCACATTGACGAGGACGACTTCGACCGTCCATCTGGCCCGAGGCAGCCGCCGCCAGTCCAGGCTGCGCATCCCAGCCCGGTGCGGACGCATACCCAGCCTAGCGTCAGTGTCGAGCAGGCTAGCAAGCCGAGCTTCCAGATCACGGTGGGAGACCCGCACAAAGTTGGCGACTTGACCAGCTCGCATATCGTCTATTCAGTGCGGACCAAGGTAAGATGAGGTTCCATTGTTGAGCGGGGAGGGGGAGCTCGCGCTAATCACCATGGGCCGACAGACCTCCTCAAAGGCATATAAGCAGCCCGAGTTCGAGGTGAAGCGCAGATACCGCGACTTTCTATGGCTGTACAACACCCTGCACGGAAACAATCCGGGCGTCGTTGTGCCGCCCCCGCCAGAGAAGCAGGCCGTCGGTCGCTTTGAGAGTAACTTTGTCGAAGGACGTCGCGCCGCTTTGGAGAAGATGCTGAACAAGACTGCTGCGCACCCTACCCTGCAGCACGACGCGGATTTGAAGCTGTTCCTCGAGAGCGAATCTTTCAACGTCGACGTCAAGCACAAGGAGCGGAGGGAGCCGATCCCCGGTGAGAGTAAGGGTGTTCTCGGCAGTCTGGGTATCAATGTCGGCGGCAGCAGCAAGTTTGTCGAGCAAGACGATGTAAGTGTGCGCTTGGACTGTTGGGAGAGCTACGTACTGACGAGGTCAACAGTGGTTCCATGACCGCAAGGTTTACCTCGATGCGCTCGAGAACCAGCTCAAGGCGTTGCTTAAGGCTATGGAGACAATGGTCGGCCAGCGCAAGATGATGGCAGAGGCGGCTGGAGACTTCTCGGCGTCTCTCCATGCTCTGTCCACGGTTGAGCTCTCGCCGTCATTGTCGGGGCCGCTGGATGCGCTGTCCGAGCTGCAGCTGACGATCCGCGATGTCTATGACCGTCAGGCCCAGCAAGATGTTTTGACCTTTGGCATCATCATTGAGGAGTACATTCGCCTGATTGGATCAGTCAAACAGGCATTCAGCCAGAGGCAAAAAGCATTCCACTCGTGGCACTCTGCAGAGTCGGAACTGCAAAAGAAGAAGGCTTCCCAGGACAAACTCCTGAGGCAAGGCAAGAGCCAGCAAGATAGGCTGAACCAGGTCAGCGCAGAGGTTGGCGACGTGGAGAGAAAGGTCCACCAGGCTAGGCTTCTGTTTGAGGACATGGGTCGATTGATGAGGGCGGAGCTGGACCGCTTTGAGAGAGAAAAGGTGGAGGACTTCAAGAGCGGCGTCGAGACCTTCCTGGAGAGCGCGGTGGAGGCACAAAAAGAGGTAAGATATATCCGCCACACGCATCCAATGGATCTGAAGCTCACGCACCACAGTTGATCGAGAAGTGGGAGACGTTCCTCATGCAATTGGACGCTGAGGATGACGAGACGGTCTTTTATCGGCCGCCTATCATCCAACCCTCGGGCAAGCCGCCCGGAAACACAGCCATTGACAGGGCTCGTGCCACCATCAACGACGACTCTGACTAGAAGCCCGGGGTACGGCGGCCGCTGATTCACTACATCATTCCTACGCATCACAGCAGCGGTTTCTTCTTCGACCCCGGGGCGCACTGGGACGAGTGAATCAAGTTGGGACAAGCCCATGCGGAGCCTTTTTCTTGGTTGTAGTAGTTGTTGTACATATCTGACAGTTGAAGAAACCCCTGGGGTATAAGGGCTCCCGTAGTCCGCCTCCTCTGACCACGCTTCATCTCGCCCAGACTCGGCGTTCCCTGAGAAGCATCTCCCCCCTTTTTTTTATACAATGATCCGCCTCTATGCATCGTACAAGCTCCTTCTCACCTGGTACACGCAGTGATGCTGATGATAGTGCTGATATGTGTTTGTGTCCTGCTGTGTCATCGCTTTATTTCTTTCCCTTCTTACCCTTCTCCGGTGCCGCCGCCTTCTTGGGGGGCTCCTTGGCCGCTTGCTGCGGCTGCAGCGCGGCGTACCCGCTGATCAGATCGCCCATGTCGAAAATGTCGTCCTCCTCCACTGCGGCCGGCTTGGTAGGCGTCGTCTCCTGTGAGACGGCCTCCTTTCCGGCGGGAGCTGATGCGGGAGCGGCTGCCGCAGCAGTAGCAGCAGCAGCATTGAGCTCCTCCTCGGTAGGCTTCGCGGCCAGATCAAAGCCGCGGCCGAAACGCTCACGGAAGGCGGCGAGCTTGCCGGCCTCGTCGACCTCGACGTTCTTGAGCGTCTTGTCGGAGGGTTGCCAGAGGGCGTGATTGCGGGAGTCCTTTGCGGAGCGGACCAGGGGTGCCGGGGAGGTGGAGCGGACGGTGTAGGTGCTTCCGTCCGAGAGCTGGATGAGCTGGGTGAAGGTGTAGGGGCGGCGGGGACGGGGGATGAAGGTTGCTGCGCGGGACTGCTGGAGGGCGATGCGTGGTAAGGGTGTCGAGGCGTTGTAGGGAGCCGGCGTAGAGCAGCGGCAGGAGGAGGAGATGGCGGTGGTGGTTAGGGAGGGTCGGTGGGTGAGGAGGCTTGTTGGCCTGGGGAGGTGGGTTGGGAGCTTGCCCATCTTTGCGGTTTGTCAATCTCCCTTTTTTTTTTGGTCGTAGACGGGCTCAATGGACGGAGTTTTGAGAAGAGCTGGAAGGGCCCTGGGTGGGGTGCGTTGGTGCGCGCGAGCGGTGTTCGGCGGAGTGGAATAGGGGAGGGCGCGCGGGTGGGTAGAGGTTTGGGCGACGAGGTGAAGCTTTTGGCGATGCTGGCTCAACCAGGTTCGTTCCTCATTCTGCTTGCCGCGCGAGTGAGGAAACCAAAATTTCGGTTGGTCGGGGCCGGGGAGTTCCGTGCACGCGGGTCCACAGCTCAGCGCGTCCCGGCGTGGGGGGGGTGAGTCGCGAGTGTGTGCGGTTTCCTTATCGATAAGGACTTTTTTTTTCCCTTTGTGGCTTTGGGTTTACATCACCGGGAGCTGGAGCTATGGCAAGGGGGGGATTGTTCATTCATGGTTCCAGAGATCCTCCATTTCCACGACACTTTAGTGCGATTGAATGACTTTGAACACACTGAGACAATAACTCCGCCCATATTACCTGTCGTGATTATTTCCCCTGCCATATTGGCGATTTTCAAAAGGGACTGCGCACGATCTCGGTACAACGTAGGGAAGTGCTACGGCGCATGCAATGACCGGAGCTCGTGTGCTGGGGACCGCGCTGCGCCGTGGTGGCCGGGCAAAGACCGGAGGAGACGGCGCGCGGAGAACCCTGATCGGAAGCTGTAGGCTACTGCCACCTTTCATGACATTCAAATATCGTCACTGACTCATCGCCTCAGCTCAGAATGAACGCCTACCACAACTACAACGGTCTACTGTCGGCCGTAACCCACCGACCTCCGAGTGCCACCGACGAACGATACATACATCGCCGCCGAACCTCTCCTCCTCCTCCTCCTCCTCCTCCTCCTCCTCCTCAATAACAACAAGAAAAACAACCACATGGCGCGCCGAACCCCACCAGCCGCCGACCTCGACCCACGACCCGAAAGCCGAGCTCCCGGCGCAGCTGTGCGGCGTGATGCGCAGGCTGGCGCACTCGGTGGTGGTCTGCACGGCGACGGACCGCGCGGGGCGGCCGAGGGGGATGACCATGTCGAGTTTCGTGTCCCTGAGCATGGAGCCCGTGCCGCTGGTGACGTTCAACGTGCGGACGCCGAGCCGGACGCTGGATGCGATTCACGATGTGGGCGGAGTGTTTAATGTGCACATATTGGCGGAGGGAGGGGAGGGTGCGAGGGTCGCGGATTGGTTTACGAGAGGGAATGCCGCTGCCGGTGAGGGCCTGTTTGAGGGGCTGCCCAGGGCCGTGGAGGTTGTTGAGGAAGATGGGGAGGCGCCTGTTCTTGAGGGACGGGGGGTGTTGTTTGTGTTGAAGTGTCGGGCCCTCGGGGAGGGGATGGTGAGGGTTCGGGACCACGTTGTTGTCGTGGGCGAGGTCGAGAAGGTGCTTAGGGGTGACGGGGAGGGGTTCGGGCTAGTTTATGCTGACCGGCGGTACCGGACGCTGGGACAGGTCTTGGCCAAGGGGGAAGAGAAAGGAGAAGATGAGAGCTGAAGTTCAAGGGGTGCGAGAGGGGGGAGAAGAAGGTTGAAGTTGTAGTGTATCATACCCATATATAGAGATTGCGGATAGAGTGTATAATATGCGAGGGAAACTCCGCCCATTGAAACCCAATCGTCCTCTTCAGTCCAGAGTTGTTTGACGATGTGGAACATATTCAATGACATCGGGGTTTGTCCAGGGCCCGAAGACCTCGGAGTACCAGGCCGCCCAGTGAGAAATGCCGATAAGAAATCTCTTCGGTCAATGCTGTGAGATTTAAATATCATGATACACTCGTCTCATGCATACAACAAGGTCCATTGCGGTTGTCGTTGTAGGTCCCTCTCACCCTACCGCGTCATCTATTGCACTGCCCATTAGACGGGGTTTATTCGCAGGTTACGTCCCAATCGGAACAACTGAGAGAGATGTAGCCGCTCGAGAGTTGAAGACTCAATGGATCAGGCTGTGAGCGGTGCCGACGTTTTGCGGAAGAGGTGTAGTGCTCTGGATTATGCTTGGCGTGGTAGGTTTGGGGGCCTTAAAGCTGGTGTGCGTTCGAGTGGTTTGGCCTCTCTGGTCTGCAGCGCGTAGCGCGAGTGATGAGAGGGTGTCCTGGCTGCATCCTGGGTTGCGTGACGTAGGATGGTCGTGAGTAGGGGGTTTGTCTTTGTCTTTCTCTTTCAATAACCCTACTGCGAGTGGATTTTGGGTAATAGTCAGGCAACGGAACCGGATGGTCATAGTGGCATATGCCGAAGTCATAAGACGGAGTGTGATGATGAGGCGTGTGAAGAGAGTCCTCTTTGAATACAAAGATGATAGCAAGTCAGCGATCATGGTTTGAAGCATATGACTCCAGTGTGGCTTTCACTGGAAACGAGAGAATATCAAATGTGGCCCATGATGAACCGGCCAAATTCACTACATCGCATCAACGGGCCCTACGATATTCGCGGTCAAGCCTCGTACTTTATCCAGCGACAAGATCGTCAAGAGCCGCACACACATGGCTCATCTCCACGTCTTACCGGGTACTGAGTACTGGCGTTGTCTGTGTAAGAGACCTCGGTAGGGATGAACCAGTGAGGGGTCCAAAAGGTGGTGTTTTGAGGATGTCCTTATTGAGGGCATCGTGCTACGGGAAGAGCAGAGCTTCAACGAGGCCGTGGACGGACCGCCGGACGACGTGGTCAAAAGCTTCACATGTAACAAGCAGGAAATGATGGCAGCGTGCTTTTACTCAAGCTTGCTGGCCGATCGAGGACTCCACCACGCCGGGGCGATGAATGCGGGACAGCGGGTGCGGTCTTTCGAGGAGCTCTTTTGAGGCATGCGAGCTACAGGAATGTTCCGGTGACTTACACGGTGACGACGACGGACCGGACGGTGCCGGGGGAGTTGTAGGAGAGGTTCATCGGGGTTGTGGCGACGGAGGTGGGACGGGCGGTCGATGGGGTCCGCTATCCCGTCGACCGCTGCCCGGAGGTTACCGATGTAGAGGCGGCGGTAGATTATGTGAGAAGAGCTGATGCTGGTGATGGTGGCCCGAATTGTACTTGGCCTTGAATCTATTAGAGCTACGTCCAAAGTGTAATTGTGCTGGCGATAATGGTCTGCCTTGATGTCTGTTGCTAGGCTTTCTTTGTGAGAGCAGGTTCTAGAACCATCTCTGCCTGCGGACCCCTGGCCAGCTAGCTAATCGACAAATGGGGTCCGGTTGACTGAGATGGAAGTCGAAAGCATTGAAGCCATATATAGAGATGGACCGTGCAATGACACCCCCGTCAATTGCCAATGACCCAGGCGATTCGGACGCGGGGGGGATGCGTTGGCATAGGTACTTACCTTAGGTAAGGTAAGATAGGGCGCCGCCGTAGAGCCGAGCCAGCACCCAATTTCGGGGCAGATTCCACCCCGCGCCGAGCCCAGGCACCAGATTCACACTACGGACACATTGGCCACGGAAGACGGAAAATGGAGAGAGAATGCGCCTCACTTTCAGCCTCGTCGACTAGTGGGACTTGCGGCAGGGGGGTTTTCCAACTTCCAACACCAAAGTACGGGCGCAAGGCTCTACTCCGCCCCTGCTAGAATCGAACCATTGAGTGATGGAGCAACAGAAGAATCTAGCAAACAGTGGAAGTGTCGAGATTTGTTTGAGGGTGATGGAGAGAGGATCCGGAGGCGGCAAATATGGAGCAAAAGTCGATTTGCGCAAACATACGCCGTCCATCCCCACAAGGAATTGAGGCGGCATGGAGGCAATGGAGGACCGGGACTCAAAGGCAAGAAGCTGTGATCACCAGGCGCTACGTGAGGAGAGGCCGTCAATCCGTTGCCTTCCTTTGCGGGTTGGCTGTATCTGTGCACCTCAGATACGGAGTGTACCTTACCTATAGAGAGTTACTGTACCTAAGCTAGGCAAGCTGTAAGGCAGGCAGGTCGCAAAAGGCAAATTCGACGCCACAGAGGGTGCCTCCCCAAAGTGCATGCCGATTCTCTTCTTTTCCATCCTAATCTGCTTGAGACCGGGAGGCAAGCGCGGGCGGCAGGCGAGGTGGGAAGGCACAGAAAAAAGGGACCCTCGTCCCACAAGGTGGCCCCAGCAGTCCGACCAATCAGAGTCTCCGCATCGTTGCTGTGGTGGCAGGGCAAACGAATCAGAGAAGGGTCTGGAAGGCCTGGAGGTGATGGAATCGCATAGAATTTCTGAGCTGGGGGGGTGAGCGTCGCTGCCTTTCTGCTTTGGTCCAGACGGGACTCCAGGCGCTTTTTCTTTTTTAGCCTCCTCCTCTTCCACGTCGCCTCGACTCTCAGACTTCTTCCTCTCGCATCTCAACTTTTCCTCTCTCTCCAATTTCTCTCTTCTCTCCTACCCAAGAACCAATCTCTCCATTATCGATCCGTAGCAGCAAAAGAACTGCCACATTCGTAGAGGAGTTCTTCTCAAAGGTAAGCTCGCCGAAAACCCGCCGTACCTGCTGGTGTCGATGCCGTTTGGCATCTCCAGCGTCACCCCCCACTCCTCTTTCGATCTGCACTTGGTATTTCGCAACCTCAGCGTCAGCCTCGTCATCGATGCAAAGCCATCACTTTTTGACTTTCTGCCTTGGCGATCCAATTCTGGGAAATCAAGAGGTTGCCCTGCAATGAATTGGCGACAAGGCTCCCCTCTCCCCCGCTCTGCCCCTCCACGAACCGCAGCCTCACCGCCACACAACCAACTTCCACGAATAGCATCTAACAAATCCTCGCAGAATTACGACCGTTACGCCCTAGATACCCACATCCTCCCATCACAATGTCTTCCCCGGAGACCTTCGAGTTCCAGGCTGAGATCTCTCAGCTCCTGTCTCTCATTATCAACACCGTTTACTCAAACAAGGAGATCTTCCTGCGTGAACTTGTCTCCAACGCCTCCGATGCCTTGGACAAGATCCGCTATGAGTCCCTCTCCGATCCCAGCAAGCTCGACTCGGGCAAGGACCTGAGAATCGACATCATTCCCGACAAGGAGAACAAGACCCTCACCATCCGTGATACCGGTATCGGTTTCACCAAGGCTGTAAGTAGCATCTGACACATCAACACAAACCTTGATCACTTGCTAACCTCCACAGGACCTCGTCAACAACTTGGGTACCATTGCCCGCTCCGGAACCAAGCAGTTCATGGAGGCCCTTACCGCCGGTGCTGACATCTCCATGATTGGTCAGTTCGGTGTTGGTTTCTACTCTGCCTACCTTGTCGCCGACAAGGTCACCGTCGTTTCCAAGCACAACGACGACGAGCAGTACGTCTGGGAGTCTTCTGCCGGTGGCACCTTCTCCATCACCCCCGACACCGAGGGTGAGGCCCTTGGCCGTGGTACCAAGATCATCCTTCACCTGAAGGATGAGCAGACCGATTACCTCAATGAGGCCAAGGTCAAGGAGGTCATCAAGAAGCACTCCGAGTTCATCTCCTACCCCATCTACCTCCACGTCACCAAGGAGACCGAGAAGGAGGTTCCCGATGAGGAGGCCACCGAGACCACTGAGGAGGGTGATGACAAGAAGCCCAAGATTGAGGAGGTCGATGACGACGAGGAGGAGAAGAAGCCCAAGACCAAGAAGGTCAAGGAGACCTCCATCGAGGAGGAGGAGCTCAACAAGCAGAAGCCCATCTGGACTCGCAACCCCCAGGACATCTCCCAGGAGGAGTACGCCTCCTTCTACAAGTCTCTCTCCAACGACTGGGAGGACCACCTTGCCGTCAAGCACTTCTCCGTTGAGGGTCAGCTCGAGTTCCGCGCCATCCTCTTCGTTCCCAAGCGCGCTCCCTTCGACCTGTTCGAGACCAAGAAGACCAAGAACAACATCAAGCTCTACGTCCGCCGTGTCTTCATCACCGATGACGCCACCGACCTCATCCCCGAGTGGCTCGGCTTCGTCAAGGGTGTTGTCGACTCTGAGGACCTTCCCCTCAACCTGTCCCGTGAGACCCTTCAGCAGAACAAGATCATGAAGGTCATCAAGAAGAACATTGTCAAGAAGGCTCTTGAGCTCTTCCAGGAGATCGCCGAGGACAAGGAGCAGTTCGACAAGTTCTACTCTGCCTTCTCCAAGAACCTCAAGCTCGGAATCCACGAGGACTCCCAGAACCGCAACATCCTCGCCAAGCTCCTCCGCTTCAACTCCACCAAGTCCGGCGATGAGCTCACCTCCCTCTCCGACTACGTCACTCGCATGCCCGAGGTTCAGAAGAACATCTACTACATCACTGGCGAGTCCATCAAGGCTGTCACCAAGTCTCCCTTCCTGGACTCCCTCAAGGACAAGAACTTTGAGGTTCTCTTCCTTGTCGATCCCATTGATGAGTACGCCATGACCCAGCTGAAGGAGTTCGAGGGCAAGAAGCTCGTCGACATCACCAAGGACTTCGAGCTCGAGGAGACCGAGGAGGAGAAGGCTGCCCGCGAGGCTGAGGAGAAGGAGTACGAGGGTCTGGCTAAGAGCCTGAAGAACGTTCTCGGCGATAAGGTCGAGAAGGTTGTCGTCTCCCAGATGCTCACCGGTGCCCCCTGCGCCATCCGCACTGGCCAGTTCGGTTGGTCCGCCAACATGGAGCGTATCATGAAGGCCCAGGCCCTCCGTGACACCTCCATGTCCTCCTACATGTCTTCCAAGAAGACCTTTGAGATCTCCCCCAAGAGCACCATCATCAAGGAGCTCAAGAAGAAGGTCGAGACTGACGGCGAGAACGACCGCACTGTCAAGTCCATCGTCCAGCTTCTCTTCGAGACCTCTCTCCTGGTCTCTGGCTTCACCATTGATGAGCCCGCTAGCTTCGCTGAGCGCATCCACAAGCTTGTCCAGCTTGGCCTGAACATTGACGAGGAGGAGGAGAAGATCGAGGCCCCCGCCGCCGACACGTCCGCTGTCGAGACTGGTGACAGCGCCATGGAGGAGGTTGACTAAAGGACCTTTGGAATGGAAAATACGGGATACCAGAGAAAAAGTTCATCGGAGTTGGACGGTTTTCGGTTTTAATTGCGGCTTCGGAAGTTTTCCATAATTGCCTTCCCATATTAGACGTATGGGTGTATTCTAGCTAGCCCGTCATGATCATGAGACAGATGAGGTAGACGCACAGAATTGGAACGTTAAGACAATCACGCCTTTCATAATAAGATGTGAACGAACCTGGTCTTGTGTATTGACATGTGTATTTCTTCTCACCCATTGACACCAAACTTGGGTATACACTGCGGAGCGAGCTGTGGGTACGTCGCAGACGCCCTGAAAAAGAGAAGCATTTTCCTCCATCATTCCCCGACCCTCGTCAGACGACAAACCATTAATTATGCCTCAGATCAACTACCCAAACACTCCAGTGTAGCAAAATCGATGGTTGCAGTAGAATATGGTCGTCCAAACCACTATATTTTCTTGACCAATAGAGGCCCCTTTGGCTCAGTGGTAGAGCGTCGCACTCGTACTTGATCGTCATGCGAAGGTCCACGGTTCAATCCCGTGAGGGGGCATTCTTTTTACATTCCACCCGGAATCTCACCTTCTTTCTGACTTGAATGACATACAACTCGTACGCTGTCTTTGCTGGTGATCGAATACCAATTCTGCAGCCTCGAGAAGTTCCCTTTTGTTTTGAAGCAACCGGGAGAGTGTGATTGACTGACTGCAGTTTCGTTCAACAAGTAGCCTGACATCCTTCGCCCCTAATCTTCGTCCGCCCTCCTTTAATCCCACTACCATCCCACTTCTGCCCATCAACAAAAACAACCTCACAAGATGGAATCTCAAGCAACCCTTCAGTCCCTTCAGGCGTCAGTATCTCCGCCTCCAGCACCCCGCCCTTTCCCTGCTCACCATCACCATCACCGCCGCCGCCGCCACCAACCATCACAACGACGGCCCCAAACTCGCCCCCCTTGCCGTCCCTCCATCCAGTCTCGGCCCGCCTCAGGTCCCCCATCTGCGGCTCGAACCGCCACCGGTTCCACCCGACGACCTCGAGCCCGACAACCTTGAAGCTCAGCGCCTGCGTAGGCCCCGTGGACCAGCTGTGCGAGAGCGAAGTGTACGCCGCGTCGTAGTTGTACCCTCTCTGCGAGCGGTAGTACAGCGACCCGTTGGCGCTCATCCCCTCGACGAGCGTCGAGCCCGTCATGAGCGGCGAGTCGAGCATGTGGCCCCACGTCCGCCTCATCAGCCGCAGGCCGCGACGGGGTCGCCGCGCGGTGAAGTGCGCGAGGACTTCCACGCCCGAGATGAAGGGCGAGATGGTGTCTGGCAGCTCCGGCGTGACGGGCCCGATGTCGTTCCAGTTGCGGAGCAGCGCCGCTGAGACGGCCGAGGCTTGTTCGGGAGATGTCGTGAGGTTGTAATGCAGCGCTAGGGCGTTGCCGTCCTGCGGAAAGAGGCGCGCTCCCGCCGAGGTCTCGTTGTCGCGGAAGAGCGAGGCCGAGGCGTCCCAGAGCACGACGTTGTATGCCGCCTTTAATCTCGCCGCCGCCGCCGCCCACGTCTCTGCTTGTACTCCGCGCCCGTTAGCCTCCGTGGCCGTGTCGGCGGCCAGACCGGCCAGAGCGTACAGAGCGTGGTAATTCAGCGCGTTCAGCGCGCTGTTGAAAGCCCCGCCGCCGAGCCGTGCCCAGTCGTTGGTCTCGACCTGCTCCGCGAGCCCCACGCCGCCGCTGTCGTCGAGGGCGCGGAGGATGTAGCCGACGCCCGCCGAGATATTGCCCCAGCGGGCCACGACCCAGTCCTCGTCGCGCGTGAAGATTGCGTAGTTGAAGCACGCGATCAGGGTCCAGGCGTGGTACGTGTCGCTTCTGGCGCCGCGCCTCCAGGAGCCCGTAGTCGGGCCGGCGAAGGGCAAGGCGCCGGTCGAGGCATTCTGGTACACAAACATGGTCTCCAGGGCGTAGTGAACGGACTCGATCCCGATGTCGCCGAGGCCTAGGTACGCCGTCGTGCCCGCGATGCCCAGATCGCCGGGCCAGACCGCCCGATCGCGCTTTGCGCCGTCGAGGAGCATGGGGCCTTCGACGCCGAGGGTTGCGTTATAGGCCCAGCCGTCTTTGACCTGCGGCAGCCAGCGGCTGGTGTTGGGTGGCGCGATGTTGGTCTGCGCTGTGAAGACGCCGGCGTGCCAGGCGCGCGTGAGGAGGTCGTCGTCGGGGGTGTAGAAGTGGCCTGGCCAGACGTTGGGCGCCTGCTGCGAGGGGGAGTAGCCTAGGTGGCAGACGATGGAGGAGAGTGTGACGGGGCGGAAGGCGTGGATGGTGAGGAACTTGAAGCCGCCGCGGAAGCGCTCGCTGGGCATGGTGTACGAGGAGGGGGTAGTAGATCCCGGAGGTACGGTGACGTTGAGGACTTTGTCGTAGTCCTGGGAGGGTGTTGCGCCCGTGTCGTCTGAGATGGCGCGGACGAAGGATGGGGATTCCGCGAAGGCGAGGGAGAAGTGCGGCTCTGATGAGTTCTTGGACGACAACGATACGTCTCGTGATTCCGTTGTCATGGATAAGAGACCGCCGACGTAGCCAAAGTCGAGGGAGACTTGGCCCCCGGGTTGGAGGGCCAGAAGAAAGCTTCCGTCATCGGCGGACGTCACCTCTGCCGGGCCGGAGACGGCGTGGATTTGTTTCGGGAGGACGGTCCGGGAGGATGGGCTCTTGATGTAGGCTTCCCATGGCCGAGTAGGGTCCCGATCCGTGGTGCTGGCGGTTGCGGTTGAGATTAGGAGGGTAGGGGAGGAGAGGATAAGAGCGAGCCGGACGAGGCGTTCCATCAATGGTACCATCGTGGGAAGAGGGCAGTGGAGAGGTGAGTAGACGGACGTGTCATTGTGATGTCGTGTTGGACGGCGGATCTGTGGGGTTTTTTTCCCCCATTTCAACGACACCACTAGCAAACAGTCTTCCTTGGCGAGAGTTCTTGATTTAGCAGGTCGGATATGAGTATAAGTCGGCGATGTGGACGAATTTCCCCGCGTGTTCGTTTTTGGCGAGAGTGACGGGGGTGATGTCGGGGTAAATCTGGAGCGAACTGGCGAGCGTTTCCCCGGGGGCGGGGTTTGCATGAGAGACCACAACAAGCTCTCAATCGCTGCTGGAGGGTTGCATCTCCTGCCTCCCTTCTCGCTATCTGTTTGGTCCGCCAGAAACGTGATTTCGACGAAGGCTGCATTTCATACCCCGTGTATGGCGCATGTTGACGCCAATGTGAACATTAAAATGCGGGTTGTGTTTTCCCCCTAAGGCATGATGGCTTCTAATACGCTCAAGATAATATGGACGAATCGATGAGCATCCGCATGTTATTCATGTTCTGATCTTCTTCGGATACTTTCACGAAATCAAGTTCTGTGGACGTGAAGGAAGATTCATTCCCGTTACAGCCCTTTTAGCATATAGTACGGTCGAGATTGAGTGCATCTCCAATCCCAAGCACCGTGTCATAGTCCTCGGGAACGTGCTCTCACCAACTGAAGCGTCGCCATAGTATTAACAACAGAGTGTCATTCGGGCTTTTCGTCGATCTTCCAAACCTTCGAGATACATCTGAGTCGTCTTGTCCATCTGCCTCAGAGTGATCGAGTCCTGTGGCTCAACCTGGACAGACGCCAGCGTAACGTGTAAAATGATGGCCGAAGCTCAGCGTTCTCTATTTTGTCTTCATTTGAGAAGACAGGCATCGCCCCATGGGGCATGAGCAAGAGCCTCCAGCTCCATTCCATCGATTTGGCCTGTGAGTTGTGCCATACCAAATCGATTTGGGACTGACTGAGAAGCAGTGGAAGGAGAGAACTGCTCACGAAGAAACAGAATCAATCGGAATTTGCAAAAGATTTCGCAAGCTCTTCTTATAACCCTCTCAAAACTGTCTTCTCAGGATGATTGCCCTTGGGGAGAAAAACTTGGCAAAACTTCATCGGTCTCCTGACTGCTCATCAAACTGTAGAAACTGACGTTGAACGGGAATGGAGGGACTCGCAAATGCAGCATCCCGCATCGGTGTTCACATGGAAGGATTCGGAACATGGCCATCTTGGCTTCCCGCTCAGAAGGTTGTAGTCGATTCCATCGAGGTCGACATCAAAGCTCTATATTGGGCCAGCTCTTGACACAAGTTGACTTGAAGAGCGGTGAGCGCCTCACGAGTCGTCATGTTCTATGATACGTCCCCTCAACATTGGCAATGGCACGGCCGACATCTTCCTGGAGAATTGAAGCCAATCTGAAAGATCGAGAGACCGACCTCTCCCGCGGGTGCACTTACTGGGTACTCGAGTGATGTTTCTCAGCAGTCTTTAGTCTCATTGAGACTGTGCCATGATTTCTCATATATCCAGACTGCTGGCCAACGGGCAGCGGCGCCGGACCTCACAAGACAGTCATGTCACAAAGTCACGATCTATTTCGTCACTCCCTCTACCTCCCTCTTCATCATCACTATTATATTCACTATAGAATGCTTGATGGGCTACGCCGGAAGAGGATATGAGGAAATGAGAAAGCCTTGGCCTCTTCACTATCCTGGCACTAGTCTGTCACGTAAGATATAGAAACCGCATCTGCGGCGATGAGTTGAAGCAGGCCGCCCAGGTCGTTGTGGCTCAGTTTGCTTTAGACGAGACTACTTTTCATTCTTTAAATATAAGAAGGGTATAGCCGTCTGGATAAGACGTATAAGGGTACATCCATATTCTAGTTGTGGTGCCAAGTAAATATATCTACCACTAGTGAATACCCACCCTGCTCGTCATCACTACTCATCACACGGTAAAATCGCTAGGTTATCGAGAACTTATATTCTGCCTAACGCGATCCATCCATCGCAGAAGCAAATACCCGGTTTTAAAAAACCTTAGATATATATATCGCTTAGGGCGCTGTTAACCCAAGCTCCTCAGGCCTAAGGACTCCGTACAAAAATACAAACGCCCATCTTCAACTCTCTTAATATAATACAATGCGAATATATAGACGAATACGGAGAGCATCGGAAAGTGCTGGTGAAAAAAGTTGACCGGTCATTGTGAAGTAAAAGATTATGTACTCTCTCACGATGTAACTACAAGCAGAGCATAGCCAGGAGCCTGAATTCCTTCACTAGTTGCTAAAGAAGAAGAGGCACGGGCAACGTTTGAATTCAAGACAAAGAGTGCAAAGCTTCGCGAAGTATGTATATTCTGGGTTGAAGCTAATCAGATATGAAACCCATCAAATCGCTTCACCAAGCACCGTCCACAACGCTCTGAAATCAACAGACTGCCTTGTCACCCAGATGAAGACATCGAAATACTCAAACTCAGAAGACCGACTTCAAAAACCGCCTCGGCCAAAGCGTCTCTCAGACTCACCTCGAATACATCCACACACAGAATTCACTCAAAAGAAGAGCCCTTTCCAGGATCCCACCAACCTTAGCCCGAGCTCATTCGTCCATTGTGATACCCAACTAGGCAGACGAGCTACGCGCAAGTCAACAAATGGCGTCCACAAACCCGCCGCTAGACGAATCGACGGCTTCATTACCCGGTTCTAACTAACGGCTGACGGAGAAATCAAAAACTTCCGTAGCCCCATGCCCTACGGGCAGCCAGTAAGCCCTGGACGCAAAATATCAGGCCTCTGGTCGCGTTCTTTACGAGTGGCTCCAATTCGGAAATATGGGGAATCGATAGGAATGAGAAATGAGCTGTAATCCGGAGAATCCAGGGAGACAAACATGACCGGTCTAGTACTCGTCAGGCTCTTTTCAATCAAGCCACGCCGCAAAGCTGCAGGGCTCGGAATCCTCTCATGGCGCGCGAAGATCCCATCATTCGACCAGATCGGACTGATCCTCGACCAACGAGCAAGTGTCTGCAGAGTCATTCGCTCAAGCCGCCAAAAGACAACGCTCCACTTGGAGCTGTCATTCATAGTTCAGCAGAGCACTCCAAGAAAATGGCTTCCGCCCCAACAAGCGTGCCGAGTTGATGGATTTGGTGACGTTAGTTCCCGCACAAAGCTCTGTTGGCCGTGGGGCCTCCGGGAGCTTGTGCGCGGCAAGGGTAAGGGGAGAGTGCCGGCACATGAGCTGCTCTTCGATTTGGCTTCAAAAGCCCATCAAGGCCATTGGGGGGAAACGGTTTGATCAAGTAGTCGAGCTGCCAACGCATCAAGCTCTGGGGCCAGCTGATTGTTAGTTAGCCAGCCCCATGTCTCAGCACAGCCCAGCCTTCCCGCGAGACCCTAAAACGGACTCTTAGCCTCTTAGTACGCGGCCGGCCGCTTCCAAGCGTACTCTGTTCGATGGGGTGTGGTCCTTGGCTTCCAGCCATCGCGCTAATCCCGCGTCTACGAGAAATACACCGTGCGCCACTTGCGAATGAAGGTGGGGGGTGGCCGGGCGATTTTTTTTTAATTTACTTTGGCTCCTTCGTCTGTGCGGCTACCCGGCGGACGACGACACATTCGGATGATGCAAAAAAGAAGGGAAAAAAACTCTGAACCTCCCTCCTCCAACAACCGCCGTGACGGGTGTGAAGGAGTGTGAAAGCTGTGGGCGCTCGCACCTAGACTTCATCACGTTACTCACTAGACTCGAAATGCAGTCTGCGCACCCCTGCTGTCTCATCGAACCCAACCCAATGGAAATGCCGAAACCCCTGTCCACTTGAACTGGCCCCTGGTCGCGGGATCTTTGGCGGCTACGATTGGAGAGAAGACAGGGGCCTCAGGTGGACTCGTCGTTGGTTCCAGTCCTGGAAGCGAAAGAAGACCCTTGATGATTTTATCATTGCTCGGGCTCGCTTCTAGAGATTGTCGACCTGTGGCTCGATATTTGGTTCGATAGCGATACGGCAACTTTGTTTGTTGGAACGCCGAAGATCAAGATGTTGCGTTGTCCTCGGAGTCAGCGAGACGATCCTAGCTTCACAGCCGCAAGTACCGATGACATGGCGATGGAAGTAGACTCGCGACCGAGGAAACCCCAGAGATCTGCGATTGCCAACATCGGGAACAAGCCACAGAAGCAAATGGCGCAGGGGTGTTCTGTGAGTGCAACCGAAGCCGGCTCCGTTGGCACTGAGCCACCCGAGACCCGCTTCGCCGAACTTGAGTGCCACGTCACCAGCCTCACGACCCAGTGATGGCATGGGGTCCGGGTGAGGCGTGTGGCGGAGTGCAGGTTTTGCATGCCCGTTGTTTTTGGGTTGCCTCACCACAGTACCTTCCAGCGCCACCGAGGGCGCCGTTGCGGAATTGCTTCTGCACCTGTGGCAGGGCCGCCGTCTCGCTTCGGCAGCAACCTGGCCTTGACCTTGCGGCGTATTGCAGCCGCAATCGCAAACCGGTTGCCAGGCCCTGGTTGAGTCCATTTTAGACGCGGCCAGCGCATAATAGTCGCCACAGTCGAGCTGCAGGTTTCAGCTGCTCTGGTATGGCCGCCGTGTCCCCATTTGCGCTTTTCGTTGCTGGGCATACGGTCTGGAGGAACATGGCTCTGTGAGGTGCAAGTCCCGTGATCCCAGTTGACCAGTCCGAGTAGAGACCCTTCCATGACACGTTCGATATGGCTGGCCGATTGTATTGTCCAGATACCACGCCGCTTTGTTATCGGTTGAGGGGTCGGTCTAGTCTACGAGAAAGAAGGCCTTGTTACTATTCTCGTCATGTCCTGCATGCCGCAAATCATGCGACCCATAATGATCAGAGGCCGATGGCTGGACAGACGACGAAGGCGAGTTCTGACGGTCAGCCCATCGAGTATCAGCTTTTGGCATTTCATTTGGGTTGCCCATGCTGCCCATTGACCGCGCCATGCTTGTCAAGGTCTCTCCATGATTAGGCATGCGTGCAACGGGAGCTATCGTTTTCCGTGCAAGCGTGGGCTCCGAGCTTCCGAGACATTGACAGCCCGTTGCGGGACAAACGTCGGGGCTGGCCCAAAAATCGAGAAGAGATATCATCTCTGATAAGACCCATAGCGCCAGTATCACCTCCTTCCAACGTAATCATCCTGAAAGCGAAATTCGGTCGTCAAATCGAAGCGGGCGATTGGGGATGGATCGTTTCCAGGAGATGCGGGTAAGGAGAGACATGCATGAGGGGGAAATGGAGCTTCAGGGACCAAACTTTGTGGTGGGAAATTGTGTTGGATCGGCTAGATGATTGGTCCAAATTGTCAACAAAAAGGCCAATCAAAGGTGAAAAAGGGACCCCCTCCCTTCCTGCCCAGAAGTCCATTTCGAATAGAGCCAATCATACGATTGACAATGCCGTAGGCCCCGGACGAAGAGAAAAGCAACTCTTTCTACTACCAATAGTGGTTGGGTATTATACGCGGCCGACGGGGGACGATGGTCGTTGCTTAAGCGGATCTGGTTTTTGAATGAGACAATGTCAAACTCTGGTTCGGCCTAGAACAAGGGCATTCGATATCGGTTGGAGTGTTGCACTGTCTGCGAATGGAATGCTTCCATATGTCTTCTATCTACCATCAAACTGGCGTATCAAGGCCGAGACCCGCCCCCAGCTCATCCCGCGAAGACGCAAGCCGAGAAGCTGACTCTGGGCGCAATGGATCGGATTAGACGACGGGGGTACGACCGTCCGTCAGCGAGGGTGGCGGACCAGTGATGAGCCTACAATTACCTGCCGTGCCTGACAATAAACCAACTGGTACAATAGTTCGAATCCCTCGTTCACACAGCCCGGATCCTTTGGGAATCGTGTTGGAGACTGGAAGCATCAAGAGTTTGCCATACCATCCACCGTCTGTTAGCTTAGCAGGCCGACGGTCGGTCTTACCAAGTTTGATGACACCCTCAAAAAATCCTAATTCGACTTACGAATAGACGAGAAAGCGCGTCTGCTTGCTGGTGGCGCTTTCTGGTCGTTGGTTCGACGACGCGTCGTTGAGGCTTTTCGCTGCAGTCATCTATCATGTCCATGTGTGGCGTCCAGTAAAGGTTTGCTGCTACCTTGCCGCGGGGTCCTGCGTTGATCCTCCTGCGAGTCTCTCGATCGAGTAGCTTTGAGGACTGAGCGCACCAACCGATGTTTCCCTGATGGTTTCTCGAGGAGCAAGACCGGAGAGTCGAGAGCAAATCAATTAGGTGCCGCAAAGCCCGTTAAGCCGATTCAGCAACACTCTCTGTGATTAGTTGCACAGCATGTTTGTCGATAGATGATAGATGGCATGGGTTGTCGATGATAGTCTCTCTGCATGCCTTGGTCTGTGTTTCCTTCGCTGCTTGAGCCCGCCCGAGCCACCCACACCATCTCGAGGAAATTCTAGCCGAAGACTGCTCATGGTCATCAAGGATGAACCGCCGAGGCCATCTGGAGATGTCGCCAAACAAGCGCCGGGCATTGGAGGAAGGGTGGGGCATATGTGACAAGCGTAGCGGTAGCGTGGGCGATCAACAGGGAGGGTGGCACGAGAGTGAGACATGCAGAAACCTGTCCTCTCGGACAGCGTAAGTGTGAGACATGCAGTGGATCATTGATGGATGACATATTGACGACAGTCGACGACGCTGGTGAATCAAGCGGGTTTTGCCTGTTTTGCTCGGTAGTAGGCGGTTGGACGCCGATGGTCTTTAGACACGATGGAGAGACTGATGCAGGGGAAAGGGCAGGACAGGCCGGGTGCAGAGACTCAGAGAGAGAATTAGGTCCACTGCGAGGCCCGGCTAGTTATGTGAGGGCTCCCATCCGGCACTTGTTGAGTGAGCGATGTGGATCGTCTTGTTCCGCGCAGTTAGAAGTGACCAGGTATTGAGAGGCTATCGGGGGCCTAGGGCTGGGATCGAGGATGTCCAGTCGCTCTGCAGTCTGAGCTTTTTGGGTTCAGGGAGGGAAAAAAGCGTGGGAAGAAACGTGGTGGAGGAGAGTCATTAAAAAAAAAAAAAAACCAGACTCGTGAGGCGACCGTTGGACCACTGGCGAGTAGGCGACTGAGGTGCACGTTCCAGCTGAGCCGTCCTAGCCCGCAGGCACGTACCGCCAGCCGCTGCGCTAGAACCATTTTGGGGCATGTACGTATAGGCCCCACCTTCTGGGCCGTCTGTACGCTCCCACGTCCTTCCTGCTCCTTCGTCTACGGCCGCCATCGATGCTTCCTTCCAAGTTCTCTTTCTTCTTCCATTTTACGGAGTACAGTACAGGTATTGTGTCGGGTCACGGGTGTCTTCTACCATCCTCTCTACCGTTCCTTCCAACACTCATGGAACTCCCAACTGGGAACCCGAACCTGAGGTTGTTTCTGTGAGGTAAGGTATCTTGGGCCCCTCATTTGGCGCTCTTGCCATTCACCCGCAATTCATTCGACAGTGACATGCAGCGTTACCCCTGCCTCCCTCCGTTGATAACACAATAAACTTATTACTTTTGCCTTCTTACTCATCCGACCGAGTTTGACTTTTCCAGTCCACACGGCCTCGTCCTCTGATCTTTCTTCCTCGTTCATGGCGGGGCGGGCCATCCCCCCTCGGATGCTCCAAGGGCATTCCCAGCCGCCAGCTTTGGGCGTTCGCCTCCCCGCCATCTCATGCTCGTCCAGTGTCGCCGAGATTCGACAGTCAATCCCGCCCCGAGTCCTACAACGCCACGTTACGATGGTATTCCTTTCGAACCTCAAAAAGCAGCAACATCGATTTCTACATGCCGGCAAAACTCTGTTTTCCACCCCGGCACCCCTCCATATTATTCTTCTCCCCAAAAGGCAAAAGAACCAGTATCCCAGAATCCCAGACGATGCAAAGGACCCCGAATGCGGACAAGGGCTGGACAAGGGTTGGCGGCCCAATGACATCGTCGAGCCGCCTTGACAAGGCTCTTTTCCGCTGCCATAGGACGAGCCGTGTATGCAGAGTCCAGGGCGAGAGGGAAAAAAAAAGCTACCCGCATGGCGGCGCAGTTGCAGTTGCAAGTGCGCGCCTCATGGCCGTTGATGCCAGGGACCCCGACGTGTAATATTTCCTAGCCATTTTGGCCCGCCAGGTAGTAACGGGTTATAGGTAGGCGGCCCAGGTATCTCCTCGACTTTGCCATTTTTGTCCCTCCACCTACTCTCCGTACCCTGCACACATCGGCCTCTCATCGCCTTGCGTGCCTCCCCCAGCATCTCTCCCCTCGCCTTGGCTCCCATCCCATGCCTCTAGCCCCTCTTTCTTTCTTCGAGTCTCATCTCATCTGTGTCCTTCTCTGTCTTGTCTTCTCCCCAGCGGAGACCCCCCTTTGCATCGCATCTGCACACTGCCCGGGCTGTTTCCACCGCGACAATAGTTCGCGTGCTGATGTTCATCCAGCTCGCATCCGCTACTTCCATATCCCCCTTACCATCTTTCCCAGGCGAGCAGGGGCCTCTTTTCGCTTCTCTTTTTCACACACTCTCTCTATCTGTCAGGATGAGTCAACATGTTTGACTGGCCCATACCGCTGTCTGATATGCTCCCTCCTGCGCGCGTCCCCTGTCAATGGCTACCCAATCGCAAAGCACCGTGCTCGGCGGTTGCCGCAGCTCACCTGACTTGAACTCATGATGCGCGATTCTTGACCGCCGCAAAGGCCATGGCTGAAGAGGAATCTTAGTGTGGCCGGCGTAGGTATTGCATACCTCGCCATGTTGCAAGAGAACAGCCAGCCCGGTAGACTAAAGACAAGGGTTCAGACGCCACACGTGAAGAAGAAGCAACTGGCATTCGACATCTCATATACAAATGGATACAGATACAGCGATGAGAGAGATGGGATACGTACAATGTACACTCACCCCAAAAAGGTACCTTGGTTGGGTACAGAGTACTTGGTTCCAACCTAGACGACGTAGACACCCCCCCCCGGGTAGTGTGCCTCGCATTCCCATCCCGAGACCTCGTGCAGAAAGCACCGCTCCTGTCCCATCGTCTGCACTCTTGCTGCTAGTCATACCCCTGCCCGCTGAACCCGGCCGCCGTTGTCCATTCACATCGTTCCAGTAAGGTAAACTGGAAGCAAGCAAGTGCAAGATACTTACCTTGAGGTAGATTGCCCTGCCCCGACGTATATACAATCCGATGTTGCCTTCTTTGGCTTCGACTTGGCTATCGCTACCTAGCCATAGCTTTTTCTCTCTTTTCTTCTCTTGCCTCATCTTGTGCTCCTTGTTCCTTGTCAAGCCCTCTTGCCACACTACTTCACATTAGATCTATCCATCTCGCTGTCTCCCATCTCCATCTTCCTACCCGCCCACCCTCAACCTCCTCACCCTACTCCGCACCTCATACTTATCTTGACGACAGCTCCCACCCAGCGAGCTGGCACGCAACGGTTTGACTTGACCGTCTTCCCTCGAAAGCCAGACCACTCGCACCCTCTCCTGCTACCGTCTTCTCTCCTGTCACAAGAAAGAGGCTGGCTCATCTTTTTCAGCAGCGCCAAGGTACATCTATGTGCCTGTCTTGCCTCTAAACGCGGCCTTTCCCCCCACCATCTTCGGGACCCCTCTGAACCCCTCCACCACCATCACAACCATCCCGACCGAATCGGCTCTCCCACGGCAGCCGCGCAACCTCCCACCACCCCACGACTTCACACCCTCGCTATCACAACCCGGAATCTAACCCCCTTCTTCCGCGCCAGCCTTCCTTGTTGATAATTTTTTCTCCTCTCTTCTTTTTTCGATCATTCCGGGGGAATCCTCATTTCAATTTCTGCTGTGCCTCCCTTAATAATCCATCTTTCCCCTATAACACTACCCGACGGTGCTTGGCTGTGCCTGATCTGATACCCCAGCTCAAAGAACCTCCCGGGGACTATCTTCTGCATCTCTATCATTCTGTTAGTCAGCCTCGCCTGAAACAAGCACTGGTTTTCTGGCCTGGGAACTGGTGTCTGACCCGTTGCACACACAGCATTTGTCTCCGTCAACACGGCTTCGGGCCAACAGCAAATCGTCAGATCTGACCAAGGCCAAAGCACCAGGTTATTCTCGCCACCGCCTCTGTGCCGCCGAGAGCCTCATCGCTGACGGACAGCCAGGATTGTAGGCACAATCGTGGCAAAGAAATGAGACATTGAGGTTGCTGGATTATGGTGGATAGGCCCAGGGGTTTCCTTGAATCTGGAATATCATGGCAACCCGACGCACAGTATCAGGCTTGCCAAGCCGCCCAGATGAACAGATACGAGCAAGAAGAGCCGCCGCTGTCGGGTCCATGGAGCCGAGTGAGGATTTGCAGAGCACGCCTCGGAGGATTCGTAGAGAAGGAGAGAACATTCGGATCGCCATTCAACAACCGACACAGACCAAACCCGCACCCACGCCGTCAACTACTTCTTCACGGCGACCATCCATTCCGATACCTTCCAGCCGGCCACCCTTAACCCACCAGACACAGTCATGGAGTTCCGTTAGTACAGCTGCCGAACGACCTAGCCACGCCCCGACCATGTCCGGCCCCTCGACGTCTGGCCAGTTCCAGTCGAGCGTTGCTAAGCCAAAACGCAACGTACTGCGGAGAAAGCAGTCGTCTGTCGCCCAGAAAACCCCGCACCTGCGTAAGGATTCGAATACCGAATCAGCTGGGGGAAGCTCGTCTTCTTCAGCTCCGCGATCACGCTCTTCCCTGGAACTGGCTCCTGGCTACCACCTCGACCGCGGCATGACCGAGAGCCCAACGGAAATTCGTATCGCACACGCTGTTGATCTGCCCAAGACCCACGCGCAACCTGTAACGATTTATCCCGAGCTTGATCGATACAGGGACAACTATGGGCGACCCTCTACATCTTCAGAAGGATCAAGCGTTGATTTCCTCCATAGACTGGCCACACACGACCTTCCTCCGCCGACTCCTGTCTTCTCCGGCACCAGCAGCCAGTTGAGTGCTTTCAGTGGCAGCACTTCCACCAGGTTCTCTGAGTCAACCAGCCCGGGCCCTTACAGCCGTGATACGACTCCCACCTCCATGTCGTCACAGTCGCCAGGGCTAGTGGCCCCGATGCGGCTGCCTGTGCCCAGAGTGAGGCAGGTGAGTCCGGTCGTGACACGGCCACCGGTCGCCCGGAGAAGAGCCGGCAGCATACCGAATGAAATGGAGGCGTTTAGCGCCGACCCTCACGGGCTTGCCGCGGTACGCGAGTCTCTGACCTCGTCATCGTCAAACTCTACAGTTCGAGAAGCAGACCGCAAGGAGCCCAAGAAGAAGAAGAGGCTATCGCCCCTACCTCCAAGCCCACCGCCGCGGAAGTCGTCCCAGAAGTTCGCAAAGGATCAATACAATGACGAGTCTCCATCGAAGGCCTCTAGGGAACCGGCCATGCCAGTCATGACCGCCCCATCACCCATTCAATCTCCCCCGCGATTGGCACCAGCCGATTCGCCCAGGGCAACCCCTCCTGCTCGTCCCAGCAGAGATAACACCCCGGACCTGCAATCCCAGCTGTTCAGTCCCTTTCCCATCATCCACAGCAATCTATCGTCGTCTTCCTTGTTAGGCGACAGACGTGGACCGGAGCCGCAGCCGATGTCGAGATTGACGACTCCCTTGTCATACCCAGACAGCCCTCAACAAACCTCTCGGTTGCCGGTAGGCAGGGAGGCTACACCGACGCTGCGGCCAACCAATGCTTTGGACACAAAGAACAAGAATGACAGAACCGTCAACCGTACCCCGAGCCCCAATACGTCGACATTTTCTCGATTTCCCTTCTTTGGGCGGCGGTCCAAAACAGCACCAGAGGTTCCCCAGGTTGACAAGAAGGACAAGCCAGCGCGTAAAGGGCCAGCTGCCGGTACAGGACACGAAGGTTATGGACGCCTGGGAGGTCTCCGAAGACGAAGTGGGAGCTCAACAACAAATTTGGCCCGCCCAAGTTTGGGACTCGGATCTTCTCAAGACAGCCTCAATGGCAACCAGCCAACCGACCCTTTCTTGCTGGAGCGTATGAACCCCGTTATCATTTCCGGTGGAGGAGTTGTCAACAACAGAAACAACAGTATAGACTTGGTTCGGTCAGGGAGCTACCAGAGCCTCGGGTACGCCTCGGAGGTGTCTACAACTTCCAGCATCGGGCGAACTCTCGCCCCTTCAGCCATTCCTCGAGGTGGTACTCATCCCTCCCTAAGCCACCGTCGGCCTTCCGACAGCAGTGACTCTGAAGCCGTTACCATGAAGCCCACCTTGGCGTTCAGACGATCCGTTCAGCGCTTACGTTCGTCTCCGGATCAGAGTTCTCTCAAGCTACCTCAGCCCATCAACACCACTGGAATCACATCGCCCTCGATCAACAGCCAGGACACTGGCATTCTTACGGACGATTCACAGTTTGAGATACACAGAGAGGTCATTCGCGGTCGTATTGCTGCAGCCAACGCGACTCCTCCAAAGAAGCTCACGAAGCGTACACGCTCCCCAAGGAAGTGGAATCTCTTTAGCAGATCCCAAAGCCAACCGAACACCAAGAAGACAGAAAAAGATGCCATGTCAGTAGCTGCGACCGTGAAAGTAGTTCAGCACAAGCCGGCAGCCTTCTACACTCTGATGGACGGTTCCGAGCAGGAAGACATTGGTACACCAGACGTCGAGGAGATTCTTAGAGAGGCTGAAGTCTTTGATCTTCCATCTCCTCCACCTGTTTTGAAAGAGAGACGAACTTCCTCTGCAAGTCAAAGCAATAGGAGAGAATCCTTGAGCAGGCTGTTGCAGCCCACCAAGTCATCACAGGCTCGGAGGAATTCGGCGACCGCCAAGTCAACTTCCATTCCGGCGATTCGGTCCATGAAACCTACCCACGCATCTCAGTCGAGTGTCTCAAAGCCAGCTGAAGCGCGCCCAAGTCGCCTGCCTCAAGTAGGTCGGATTCCCAAGGTTGTGGCCTCTCGACCGGATCACACCTCTTCGAGAAGCTTTTCCCGGCCGTTCAACAGAATCAGCATGCAAATGCAGCCGCAAGCTGCAGTCTTCAATCCCGATTTCGTTGCTTTAGGCGCGACCCCGACCCCCGAGCTTTCCACACCCGAACTGTCTCGTGGGGAATCTACCGCAACCAGCGACAAGACCAACTCGGACCCTCGTTCATCTCTCGTACCCGACAAGACGCCCGAGATGATTCATATTGGTAGAGAGTTTTTGGCATTTTCTCCTCGAAAGAACTCTGAGTGTACCACGAGCACAGATTCCAGCAGCCTCGGCATGTACACTCTTGCAGATGCCATGGCTTACGTGCCCGACCCCAATGCCCCGCTTGTTGAGGACGAGATCTGGGATGAGTACAACGATTTGATTGGCGACGTACCACCATCTGCAACATCTTCAAAGGGCGCCCCCTTCCATCTTGAGACCCACGGCTCGAGGATGTCAAAAAGGTCTTTGAAGCCGCTTGAGTCTCCTACCATTGCACCGTCGTCAAAGACTCTAGAGAAAAGCACCGAGGTCGACACTGGCGCCACAACATCTAGTGTCTATTCTGCTGATATGACTGAGCGCCTTAAGGCTGCCTTCGCTTTGAAGCCTGAGGGGGAGATGCTCGTACCCGTTGCCGGGATTCCTGCGAGATTAATTGACCGCGAGAGCACAGAGCTGGCGCGCAAGGCAACGGCCGCGTCTCAGAGAAGCAGCGGCTCGTCTCGCAGATCAAGACAATCCGATTGCAGTTGTAAATCTTCCGAGGACGAGTCGCCGCTTTCTCAAGTCAACCTCCGCGTCGGTTCGATGACGGTCAGCAAGTGGTTGTCTTTTGGTCATGTGCTTTTCAGTCCGGCCCGGGACCAGCTCCTGGATGTCGTCGGCTCGCTGAAGCGCCACTCTATTCTCGTTGTCGATGGCCTCGGCAATGATGATTGGTCATTCTACGCGGCGGAAACATACCCGGCTGCCACCTTTTTCAACCTGTCACCTCGAGCTCCGTTGCCAGAAGAGCATAAGAATTCATCGAGCTTTCCATTAAGCCCGCCAAACCACCATCAGATTCAATACCTCTCTCAGATGGATAAGTTCCCCTTTGGCGCAGAGAGCTTCACTTCGGTGGTCTTCCGCTTTCCTGCTGCTGCGCCTGAGTCTCACTATCGCAACATTGTTTCAGAAGCACGTCGCGTCCTTAAGCCAGGTGGCTACCTGGAGCTTTCAATTCTCGATGTTGATCTCAACAACATGGGCAACCGTGGAAGGCGCACTGTCCGTCGGCTGAAAGAACGCATCCATCAGAGCAACCCCGAAACCAGCATTGGTTCGTCATCCGACCTCATTCTGCGCCTCCTCGGGCGCAAAGGCTTCTCCGACGTCAAGAACTGCCGTGTCGGCGTACCGGTCGCGAGCGTTGTGAACCGATCGGAAAGCGGTAGCAAGAGACCGCCCATCACTGGCGACCGGAAGGCCAAAGAGGTTCGCAGCCTTGCCGAGATGATGAACGAGGACGGCGACTCAGCCGACGAGAACATCACCAAGATGGTGGCCAAGGTCGGCCGATGGTGGTATAGCCGCTGCTACGAGAGCGCAGCTGGTACCATTAGCAAGAGTATCTGGGCTGATCGTGCTTTACTTTCCGAGTGCGAGGAACTACGGACAAGCTTCAAGCTCATGGTTTGCTATGCACGTGTGCCCGATAGGGCGCGAACCGCAAGTATCTGAGGCCTCCAAGTCTCTTCGTTCCTTGTCTGCTTCAGCCTTGTTTCTTTAATTACCCTCATTTCATACCACAACGCACATAATCCATCCCGACGTATCTTTATTACAAGGGCATCATTATTGGGGTTCGGAAAGAAAGAGGATGGCCTCGCATCACAAGATCCAAGAGGGCGCAAGCCCATCGTCGACTCTGGCCCATAAGTGGTAGAGTCATTCCCCCCCTTTTTGCACAACGAAACAGAGCCGGTGAACACAGCACGGCGTCTGCGAGAGGGCTCATCCAATCCCTTGGCTTTTGGCTCAGTGGTTTTGGACAGTTCTTCCATCATCCCTTACTATCATATTTCCTTCTCACTTATACGTAAGCCATCACTGGCGAAATATGTAACATATAGTATTGGGTCATGGAACCCGTGACTCTGTATCTGTCGGCTGGCTGTGCCAAGGTTTGAACACTCTTTTCTATTCTTTCGTCTATCGTTATCACCAAAAAAGCAAAAGGCGCGATATTAATATTTTGTTTCTTCAACCTCATCAGCGATAGGACACTCTTTGGGAGCGGATTAGCAAGGAAAGCTGGACTGGACTAAACTTGGAATGCATTATGGTGCTAATAATGTGATGGCTGGGCCGTTGCGCTTCTGTTTTGGGTTGTCTCCATTTCTTTCTCGCTCAGTCGGAGCGCTGGGTTTTGGGACGTGGTATCATGGCAAGGAACGAAATGAGAGAGGCAGCAGAAGGAGAAGCGCGGTGCCTCAAGGCCCGATGGGGAGGAAATCAGCAACGAGAGTACGACATGATGATTCATGTTGGATGTCTGGACTGTCCTTGAAGCGTTTTGCATGGCACGAGATACCCCAATCTTTTGGTAGCGGAAATGAATGATTTGATTCTCAACACCCTTGACTTATACTGTGAACCGGTTTATGATTGAATTGCTTGTCTGGCCAAAGTTGATTTAGCTCTTTCAAATGGCATAAGGTGTTTCATTAGGCTATTTGGAACATTCTACCTATGCATATAGATCTGGAGAAAGTTGCGAGAAAATCTCGCTACGCCTTTCGGAAGATGGATTCATCTCAGATGAAGCAAAGAAAAGTGAAACGGACGGGGTACGGGGTAACTGATTCATATATGAATGAGAAGAAGTACTTTCCAAAGAAAGGTAGGTAGGTCATTGTCGCAGATGCACATCAAATACATCTTTGCTAGTGGGAAGTCAGGAATTGAAGTGAAGGGATGTAAGTAACATACTGGTCTGCTTCTACATCTACATGAGACTACTAGGGACCGTGGAGCTCAAGGCTATTTATTGCCCGGATAAATCTCCCTCTCACCTGCCCAAGATTGTATATTCATCACGTACAGCACCTCTTGAATACTACACCTCGCGTGGAGGCAGGTGGAGGCCTAACTTAGGGATTTCTATGCCAAAGAAGGCGGTTTCTATTTTGTACATCTGGCTCGTTCTTGCCTCATCCACTCACTCAGAATCGCTGCCTACTTTCACCTTTCCACCCCCCCCCCCCCCCCCCCCTCCCCCCCCCCCCCCCCCCCCCCCCCCCCCCCCCCCCCCCCCCCCCCCCCCCCCCCCCCCCCTCTCTCTCTCTCTCTCACACACACACACACACCCTCCCCCTGACAACTGAGTGCCTCTTCTACAATTCTTTACACACTCTTCGAAAAATAAAATCGAGGTAATCACCGCCAATCGTCTTAAGAAAACTCGCGTTCTACACGTCCACAATGAGCCTCCGACTCAGCGTCAAGAGAAAGGCTGCTGAATCCATCAGCGGCAACAAGTCCAAGCGACGACACAATGACCGACCTCCGTGAAACGTCTCAGATGATGAAGACTTTGATGGAGAGAGGCCACCAGACGCAGTGCGTGTTTGGAGACAAGGGCTTGGGAGGAGGCACCCAGGCGAGGGTCGTCGGCGTTGCTGGACTGGTCGCGGACGCCTCGGGTCTTGCTGATATGCAGAGGGTCGCGATGGGTGCGATGCCCGATGCCACGAGGGTTGAGATTGTGTTTCGGTTTTCAAAGGTATGTGTAGTGGCGTCCTATTGGTTGGGGGGGTTTGCGTTTTTCACTTTTCTTTCGACATGCCTTTTTTGATGTAACTGTCGTTGACTTTATTCTCTCTTTCGGATAGGACGATGCCGACAATGGTCAAACCGCCCCAGCTGAGGAGATCAGTTCCGATGAGGGTGAGGGGATGGTGCGTGGTGGACGTGTTGATCGTCCTGTCGACTTGGTGAAGACAGAGGTAGACGACAACGACGACAACGACGACAACGACGACAACGACGACAACGACGACGACGATGAAATATTTGTTGCACAGCCGAAGAAGCGCGCCAGACCTGTCTCCAATAACAAAATCAAGTCTGAGAGCAGTATCGACCCTGAGAGCAGCGTCGAACCTGAAGAGATCGAGGAGCCGGCCGATCTGCCCTTTTCGTTGTTCGAGCGAGGAGACTCGGCGTCCTTGTATTGATGCAGTCTAGCCTCCACGGACTCGATGCGGTAAGTGTCGAGGACCGATGCTGATGGAGATTTGGCTGCTTCGGGAGGGCGACGAAGAACTGCAGGCGACACAGGGAATTCATGATTCTGATGAACTTGAGAACGACTCAGAGAAATTGTTTTACGAAGAAATGGGGACTAATTAAATGGGTACCAAAGGATTGAGATTTGGAACCAAGGCAATGGAGTTTGCCCTACCGATGATGAATCTTCTGTTGAGGAGGACGCCGTGGAGAAAAGATCAGGGGCTACAAGAATCATCATAAATCGACACGGGTCGTCATAAACCAAGAACCCTATGCTCACGGTGTCGGAGCGAAGTTCCAACGCCGCCTTATGTGACATGAAGACTCGCAATGAAATGTGTGCTCGAAGGAATGTGATGAATTGTTATGTTCGCGTCTGAGAACAAAGAGAAGAACCGAGTTTGACATTACAATAGATCCGAGATGGCTCTGACAGCTACTCCAAGACTGGCGAGATGAACTTTCGATCAATGGCCTCAGGGTCACGGGATTGGCTAGTTACCGCTCTTGCTGGAGGTTGATGATGAACTAAAGACCCGAGATCTACTTACCGACGTATACTCTGTATATTCCTACAAAAATTACAGCGAGAGTGGCTAATCATCTACGGGACGTCCCAATTTTAGTTCCTGTCACAACAAGCATGCATCAATCAGGATGTAACTGCGAGTACATCTCGGCAAGTTCCATTAACCGTCTTGCATGTTGGACAAGGCAAGCTTGCTAGGCCAGGAAATTGGGATCGTATTAACAATAACCCTCTCGCGTGCGGTCATATTCAAGAGTATTCGATATGCCACCCATCCGCAGCCTTTTTGGTCCCCATATAAACATCAAGGTGAAGCAAGGTGAAGCCCGCACTGCTATGAGAGCCGTCTTCCAGACGCGGTTCCCGGTAGACGCGTCTGTTATTTTTGTCATCGCAAGTACTCTACGAATTCTACGTCACCTGCGCCTTTTACCTTTTTTGAAGAAGCCGGGTCAAGTCGCCGCGCAGAGGAGAAATCTGCTCTTTTCCCTCTTCACCCCAGACCGCTCCCGTTCTTGCCTACTTCCCATCCACCATCTATCTACCTTCCACCCTTCCTTCACACACCTTTCCCCTCGCACTACAAAAACCCAATTCCTCGCCAAATTCTTCATCCCAAACTCAATAGAGAAGGGAAGGATTATTGAAGAATAAGGAAAAAACCATCACCACCTTACATCTTCATCTCCCATCCTCAACTCAAAGATGAGCTCCCGCCGCGCCCCCAAGCGCAAGGCCCTTTTTGGCCTGAGCGACCTGCACACCTCTCATTCTCATCCTCATCCTCAGCAGGAAGATGACAAGCTCGCCAATGAGACGTCCAAGATACTCAAGACCCTCACCGAGAGCACTTCCCACACCCAATGCGTCTTCAGCGACGAGGACGTCATTCCCGATAGCACCCTCGTTGGCGTGTCCGGCCGTCTCGGCGACACCAAGCTCGCGTCGATGCAGAAGATGGTCACCGACTCGATCCCCGAGGGCACTCAGGTCAAGATCATCTACGTCATCTCCAAGGTTCGTTATTGATCTCCTACGTGTCTGGCATTTCCCTAGCAATGACTAAAAATTCATATAAGGAGATTGACAACGGCCCCCAGGCCAAGGATTACGACGACCCCATTTTCATCGAGAACTACATTATTAAGGAGAGCATTCGCGGCCAGATCCGCCAGCACGAGCAAAACCAGGCTGAAGAGGACGACGAAGAAGATTTCCCCCCTCAGCCAAAGAAACTCCGCAGAGGCACCGCATCCAGCGTCCCCGAGCCGCCTGTCAATATGAAATCCAAGGAGGGCATCTAGCCGACCAAGCGCAGCGGTAACAACAATACGGCCAGCATCAAGGCTGCCGGGACTTCCCCTGCTGCTGCTGCTGCTGCTGCTGCTGCTGCTGCTCCTCCTCCTTCTTCTACTCATCGCAATAGCACCCCCTCCCCCATCGACTTCACGCACTGGAGAAAGACCCTCACAGGTAGAGACAATGGAACATCTTCCTCTTCATCTTCCGGAACCAACACCATGAACAACATTCCCGATCTTGAGCACCAGCAAAGACTGCGTCACCAGAGACTGTACGACTGGTTTGAGGGTGATCCATCTTTTTGTTACCTTTAGTCATGATGGCACTTCATTTGACGTCTCCGAGTGGCAGTGATGTTGCACAAGGGAGAGCGCATGCCTCGCATTTACAAGATTGGACCAAACAGAAGAAAAAAAAAGAAAAAAAAGCACACAACGGGCGGGGTCAGATTTTGTCCTTTGAGGTTGGATGCTGCTGGACAAGAATGTTGCCCTGGGACTCCCAACGTTTGTCAATAAAGGACGCAAGGATCGAGATCAGGAACACAAATGCCGCGAGGAATGGAATTAAGCAGATGGTGAACAACGGCTAGTACGCATAAAAGACTCCCAAGTTTAGCTGTTCATAGACGTAAATGCTAAAAGCCTCCCTAGTCAAGTGTTTAAAGTCAAGGTTGGGGCTTACACGATATGTCACATCCAATCGACTCCTCTGGCACTCCTGCTCAAGTACCGGAGAATTGTCTTCTCCAATTTACATCCTGCACATCAACAGTTCGACATATTTCGTCTAACTCGGTCAATTTTCTATATAGAAACGCCAAACCTGATGGCTTCGACCTGGTTCAAGGCCGCTGCTTAATCTTAGCCTTAGTCTTGTTAGGAACGCAGAGAGGGAGAGAGGGAGATAGACTCTCGTCGAAGAAGGAGAGAAACATGAAAGGCGAACCAGAAATACAGTCAATAATAATAACATGTGCGTCTAGATAAAGTACTTGACCGCCCCTCAATAGCTTAGTTAGGTCTGACTCAGAGGATATCCGACTAAGAGTGACAAAGGCAGAGGGGGAAGGAGCCGTCGAGGAAAAGTTATTAGGTAGTATAGACGTCCGTCTTCCACAAAACTATTCGAACTCAAGACGCCTATAAGTATATCTAACACGTCCACAAAAAGCGAAAGATGGCTACCATTGACGTCTCTTCACAAAGACTCGAAAGATTCAGAAAATGCCATATCATCAACTTGTTAACCACCATTTCTATACACGGTATCTTTGCAAACGTACACTAACCCAATACACGCCAAAAAAATGACTTCGGTATCATATAAGAAGCACAGAACAATGCAAACAAGCCGGCCCTAGCTCTCTCCCCATTGGCCCAGCCCTAGGCCATGGTCACGAGTGCGTCTATGTACCCCCCTTAAACCCGGTGAACCCTCCCGCCCGTCCTCCGCCCAACACCTCGAAATTAATTCAAACACGCTATGCCACCCTAAAGCCAAGCGCCTAAAGCTAGGTCTAGCAATATACGAAAGCGAGCTGTCGCTCGTGGGGGGAATCATGAAAAGACAGAGAAAAAAGAAAAGAAAAAAGATGGTATAGACAAAATAAAGAGTAGACTCAAATCAGTCTCGGAGTTCCACGCCAACCTCTTGGTGGACGAGCCTCAACACCCACGATGCCTCCGAGGCGCTGGAGCACTGGAAGCACCACTTTTTGACCGAGCCGGCGGCACCGCCCGTCTTGGGCGCCACGCCGATTTCGCCCCTCTCATCGCGGATCTCCTCCCAGATACCGCAGATGATGCCTCTACTGCCCATAGGAGTGAAGCAGCCGCTGCCCAGCACAGCATCGAGGATAATGCGTGCCTTGTCTGATTTCTTGGGCATCGTTGTAACCGTGACGCGCTTTTCGAGGCCGTGGTTCGCGCGAAGGTCTTGGTGCCAGCCCGGTGGCGGGCGGCGGATCTGTATGAGACAGTTACCGTAGTCCTCCCACTTGTTCGAGCTGACAAGCAGGTGCAGGCGAATCTTGATATTGTCGGACGATAGAGGACTGCGGATAGAGTTGGAGTAAATGCTAATCGACGGGGAGCGGGGGTAGCCATCGGAAGATGAGCCGGATCCATAGAGGCTGTTGCTGTTGGAGAAGTGACCATGCTTATCGATGGAAGACCGAGCGATGTTGAAAGCGTTACCTTGGGTGAGTCTCTTGAGGAAGCTCGTAGCAGACAGACTCGACGAGGGGGTACTTCCATCTTGTGACTGAGACGGGGCGCGGGTCGACGCGCGGTAGCTGTTCTTGCGTCCGAACCAGCTGCGGTGACGGCTGCTATTGTCCTCGGTATCTTCTGCAGGTCTCTGGCCAAACGACTGATACCGCGCCTCATTCTCGAGCTGGATGAACTTTTGATTGTTGAGGCGTGCATGATGAACGGCCATGTACAGGTCGTAGCATTCAGTAGCCGACGGGCAACGGAAGCGGAAGTTGCCTCCACCAATGTCCTTGTTCTTGCAGTTGTCCTTGACGGCTGAGCGTATTTCAAGGTCAACAACGGTAGACTGGCGGAGAAGGATGAGTGGCGTGAGCTCGAGGGAAACAAGCGGGACGTCGGGTTCTCCTCCAGGGCTCATGACCAAAGAATAGGCCTCGATGACACCGGCCGTCACCTGGATGGAGCAGGGCTCGAGGGAAATGTCCTTCCACTGGCCCTTCTTCTCGTTCCAGTACGAGATGGAAGCAATGTATTTGGTGTAGCTCTCCGAGGCACTCATTTTACGGCCATGAAGGCCGGCTTGCGACGCCGAGTTGGACGGCGTCAGGCTGCACACTGACTCGGAAATCATTGATTCTTGTACAAATGACTGCGAGATCATCGACTCTTGTTTGAAAGAGTCTAGGAATTCCTCTGTCTCGCGCTCTCGCTCTTCCGCCGGCAGGTGCTCGGGCTCTCTAATGCTGAAGCCCACCTCGGTCTCGGGGATGTCATCATCAAAGTCATCTTCGGATTCGGACGACGTATAGTCGGATTCCGTTTCTGTCTCGCTCTCTGAGAGGTCGGTCTCCGTGACGGACCGAGTCGTGTCGGATGATTCTTCAGAGGGAAGATATTCGTGCTTCAAAGGTGAGGATCCTCGACGCTTCACGCGAGAGCTCTGAAGATCGACGGGGGGCGACAACTTCGGGGGCTTGGGGCTCAAAGAGCGGTGGATCGGAGGAGGTGGGGCACCATCCGCGCGATAAGGAGTCGTGTTCGGCGCAGCCCTGTGTCTGTCCTCCTCCTCGTACGAGTCTGGAGTTGGACTTCTGTCGGGAGAGAGACTGCGTCGGATGGGAGTCGTCGGCATGCTTGATCCGCGGTTGTGGTAGCGACTAGGAATCGGTCGCTTCGGGGCGAACGGCTCTGGAGATGACATGTCTCTTGAAGATGAGCCATACAGCTTCCCGCCTACAGGTATGTCCGTCCGATGCTGCGGTGATTCGGGGAGACTCTCTTCAGTAACGACAGGCAGCCGCTCCTTGGGTGGTATGGGCGACGTGCCAACAATGTCAAGCCAGTCTTCTACTTGATCGTCGTTATCTGTGACGAGACTCAGCAGCTCGTACCAGTGCCGCCCGTTGTGGGTGCCCGACACCATAAGAACGAGCTCGAATCTTGCGTCACCACGGCGTGCTGAAATTACGGTCATGGGCATGGGAGGGAAGAGAAGCCATGTGCGGCGGCCGCTGCCAGTCTCACGGATGAGCAGGTCACCCTTGTCGTTGTTCGCGCCGGGAAGGTCGCGGTGGATGAGTTCAACCTGGCACTCGAGGCGTTGTCCATTAGAGTGCGCGAGACTGAGCGAGAAAAGGTCCTTTGCGTTGACCTGCCGCTTGGGGTCGATCTTGACGGCTTCCATAGGTGCGAGTGTCCGGAGATTACGGATTCTACTTGTGTCGGTGTTGATCGCGTCCTCGTCAGCTAGCCGCGCAGACTCTTCTCTATGGCGGCGCTTGGCCTTTTCTTGCAACATGTCGTAGTCGCCGACAAGTGCAAGGGTGTCGTATGAACCGACAGCGGCGTGGAGGCCCTAAACCTCGTTAGTTTGGCTCTTTGCAATGCATTGAAAAACATTACCTTGGTGAGCTTTGCAAGAGTCCGGATGCGAAGCAAGGGCCGTTTCAGTAAATGCGCAACGTCGACTCTCTCTCCGTCTTCGTTAATGACGTCGCCTTCGGCGTTGCGCGGGAGTGCATCGATGAGGAAATCCTCGTCGTCAAGGCGATCAGCAGCAGGCGCTAGGTTGACGACGAGATCTTGAAATCCAAGGCGCCAGGCGTCTAGGTAGCTGTCGTAGATGGGAGAGGCGGTATGCAGCCAGGAAATGAGCCGTTCGACATCCGCATGAGATGCCCTCTTATGGGCGGTCTTAAGTTTTTCCAGTGCAACTCCCATATTGACCACGGATTTCGACATGCTATTTGCCTTGCGGCCAGGAGACTCGGGACCAAAAAGATCTACGGCACTGGCTGAGCCCTCGTGAAGAACAGTGGATAGAAGGACGGGGACCACGCCGTCAACCAGCGTCTTGAGCTCCCGCTGATACAAGTTTTCATCGTCCGTGAACTCCCTCATGAGGTCCTTTGTTGTGACTGTGTCTGGACGAGCGTTGGGCCTCCTGACGCTGGCAGCCTTTCTAACACTCGCCCGAGGTTTGATGCTCCTGAGGCTACCTGGCACTTGGCTTTCGTCTGGTAAAGACAGGACTGACACAAGATCAGAGTGTTTAGTCAGCCTTCTCTTCAGACCCGATTTATTGCTCCGCCGCCGCGAAACATTGCTTCTCGTAAGGCCGGTGGTCTGCGTAATAGTAGTCTCGGACACTTGCGATGTCATGTCCGAATCGTAGGTGCTGTGAGTGTCCGCAGACCCGAGAATAGTGGACAACTCGTGTACACCGTTCGTTGGCGGCTTCCGACGGGGTGTCCGGTCCTCACGCACCGAGGACTCGTCAGAGTACGTCCAGTCGTCAGTAAATGTTCGATCAGAGTAGGTCCGGCTAGAACCAGAGGAGCGACGGCGCATGGTTCGTCTATGCTCGTCATCTTCTTCGGGACTATCGTACTCCTGCTCCAGCTTTCGCTCCTCTTCGCTGATGTACTTGGAAGGTGGGGTCTGGTGACCGGTGGACTCTCCCCTGAAGGCCTCCTTGAGGATTTCCCGGAAGGGCTTCTTGACTGATTTCATGGGGGACGGTGAGCTTCTCGTAGCTGCTCTCCGGCGAAGGCCAGCCGCGCCTGCAGAGGTTGGCGTCTTTGACTTTTCCTTGGCCTTCTCTCCGACGTTCTTGGGTGCTACATTTTCGTCATTCTCGGTCGACGTGCTCAGGTCCGTTGCGGAGAGAGTCGATTCTGTCCAATCCGTAGATTGTGTAGTCTGAGTCATGTCGGTTGTTTGAGTTGTCTGAGTGGACTCGGTAAGACCGGTCGATTGCGAAAGCTCAGTTTGAGTCGGAAGGGAAGGCTTCCGTTGACGGGGCTCAGTCGACGATCGCTTGCGGTTATCTTGCGCCTTTGTCTTGTCGGCGGGCTTGCTCTCGGATGCTTTGCTCTTCGGCGCCGGCGACTCCTCCTCCTTCGCCGGCTCATCGACGAACGGGTCAACTGTCCCGTTGAGCCATTTCTCGATGTTCGGAGGCTGGTTGGCAACGGGCTGCTTCGGGGCCTCAACGGCGTCATGCAGGATCTTCTTGCCCCCGGTGACCACCTTCTTGAGCACATCGGCAGCCTTGAAGCTGGGGTTGCGTTGAGCCTTCTGCCTCGTCTTGTTGAGGGGCAACTCTAGCTCGCTAAATGCAGAAAATCCCACAGGAATGTCTGCCAGTGGCTTCGCGCCTGGGGCGTTGGTGACTGAGCTTGGCGCAAGATCCGAGTTCTCCATCCCTGCCCTGGCTGCCGATTCTGAGGTACTGATCCAGGACTTTTCGTCTGACGGCGGAGGCGCCTTCTTCTTGTGGCTCACTTTACGTGTCTTTGACGATTTTCGCGTTGGTGTTGCCGGCAGACTCGACTCGGCATCCTCAGTGACCTCGATCGCGGACTCGTCTTCTTCAACCACCACAATGTGATCTGCGGACTCATGCCTTGCACTGGCCCCACGACTACGCTCGCGGGATTTGGCGCCTGCACTCTGTGGTCTCGGCGTCTTGACGCCGGATCCTTCCGATACTGGTGTCTTGAGCGGCTTGACACGGATTCCGTCATCATCGAGCTTCTTTGTCCGTATCGGCGTGACTCTGATGCCGTCGTCATCCATCGTCTTCTTTGGCAATGTAGCTTGTCTCTCTTGAAGCTCCTTGAGCCTTGCCTGTATCCTGCTGCCGTCAAGCGAGTCTGTTGATTTTGCAGCCCGGTGTTGTTTGACTGGCGGCGGATCTGGCAGCTCAACCTTTGCCGCCCAGTCCTGGATCTTCTTGGATATGGGCGCTTGAATGGGAGTCTTTTGCACGAACCCTTTTGGCAAAGGGGTTGGGGTTGGGCTCGGGCTCGCGCCCTTGGTCCGCGGCGACTTTGCTCCCGTCGGGCTCTTCTTCCTCTTCTGCGCCATCCAATGGTCGTCACTAACAACTCGCTTCTTGGGCGCCAGCTTGGCCTCTGCGCCGGGGAGGTCCTCCACGGTCTCATCCTTTTCCTCAGCAGGGGCATCGTTGTGTACTTGGATTTTTGGGGTGGACATCTTTGGTGCCGACATCCTCTTCTGCCGCAACTTGATGCGTACGCGGTCCTCTTCCGTGACACTCTCCGTATCGCCGGGAAAGGCCAGCTCGGTAGGTTCGCTGGGCGGCGCCAAGGGATCAGCCGAGGACATGGCTGCTGCGTTGGTCTTTTGCCACTTGTTCACACGCTCCCTGACGCCGCCGGGCTGCTGTACCTTTGCGACGGCAGCCTGCCGCATCTCGGCTCTCAGCTCGGCCTTGACAGCGTCGAGACTCATTCTTCTTTTACGCTCGGCGGCGACGCGCTGTGGAGAGGGGCGTCCTCTTAGGAAGTCGGCGAGCAAAGTCGGGGGTTCTGGTGGTTTCTTCATGGTTGCTGCACGGGGGCGGGCCGGCACGGCCTTGGGGGTTGTCGGCGGCGCATTGCTTTCTTTGGTGGCGGGAGTGGAGTTTTTGGTGGTCGCTGCCGCCGCAGTGTCCGGCGATTCTTTCTCGTCGGGAGGTTTGGGAGACATTGTCTACACAGTAGAATGTCAGTAACAAGTCTCGTCTGCCGGCAAGCGGTGGCAGGTACGAGCTGTGTCGTACAGGTGCGCCCCCCTCTCTTTCCTTGGGTAAGGTAATTACAATGTGGGAAGGACTGACTTAGGTGAGATGCATGCTGCCGCGAAAGGTTAAACAATCTGCTGCGTTCCTATGGGCGCATGAGGTAGAGTTCAAGAGGAAGGTAGTGAGTTGTTGGTAGCTGAGGGGGGGTCGCAATCGGAAGCGCAAGTAGGCGTCAGATGTCAGAGTAAGGTTATTTGAGAGAGGCGAGGACGAGGCTGTCTATCGGTGAGACGGGATCAAATCAAGAGGCCGACGCTGCAGGCCGTATGCGTAGAAGTTGGGTTGCATGAGCATGAGGCAAGCAAAAGGTGCAGCTCGACAGACAATCCCGTTGTATGTGTACTCTGTAACTCTGTGGATGTACGAATAGAGACGGTAAAGACAGAGCATATCAAAGCGACGACATTTTAGATTTCTTCTCGAGGCAAGCTGGCAGGCCGGCAGGCCAGGATGGAGAGCAGATGGTCCAATCGAGGGCGGCGTTGAGCTGGCACTGCCGGAGTAACCAGTGGATGTTGACGCCGGAGCTTAGACATAAACAAACCGACGTTGGTGGGGTCGTCAGTACTAAGCCCGTAACAAGCCTTACTGCCCTGTGTAGCTAAGTAGGTAAGGTAAGGTGAGTTACACTGTAGGTACGTACTCTGTCCTGCGTTTTCAAGGTTCCAGGCTTAGTGCACGCTATCAGGTAGAGTTGATTGCCTGAAGCACAGACAATCCCAGCTAGTGGCCAATCAGGGGGGTTCGGGAGGCAGCTGAGGGTTTCCGGCGAGGTCGACATCAGGCGCAAAAAAAAAAACAAGACTGGTCTCGATGGGAAGCATCAGGAGTGGGTAGGTGAGGCAAGGTAGGGCCATTGCAAGGATGCTCGCCCTGTCTTTCCTGCTGCGGCATGTGCCACTCAAGCAGCTTTCCAGGAGACACATGGGAATCTGTCAATCTCCTCGTTTCCATTTTTACCTTACAGACAGACTTGTGAGTATATTCGTACAGCAAACCTGATACCTCGGGGGTCTGTCGCTCCCATGTTCCTCCCGAGTCCGTTCCCCAATCTCCTCTGGCGGACTTGGTAATGTGGACTATCATCCGTACATACTGTGTATAGATCCGGGCCGTCCATCATTTCCCGTCCAGGTCTCTAATCTCCAGCAATCGACATCGCGGCGGACCCTAGTTCCCTCGCCTGGCCCTCGCTTCTGCCAGCAGATCGGATCTCGGATGCCTCGACCAGCCTGGACAAGACCCCTCGGACCTCGACTCTCGAGTGAGCCGATGAGAAACCCACCGTCATTCCCTTGATCGACCAACGGGGTGAGAGAAGCGAATCGCGCAATGCTGCCAATAATGCAGATGTCGGGCAAAGATGGAAAAAGCCAATCCACTCAATTTTTTGTTTCCGAGTACGCGTGTCTCACTTGGACCGAACCTCTCGAGTCCTTCCCAGGACCCGAACACAAATCATCCTCGGCCGGTGTCGTGGGCAACGCAACAACTGCCATCCTTGAAACCGCGCTGCATACCCGTCATCATCGCCCCATGTCTATCCTCTATGCCATATGCCCCGCCCGGCATCCCTAGCCACGATTGTCGTTGTCACTGCCAGCAGTGCCGGTGCCAGTCGTGCTGGGAGCATTGATGCCGCCTCACCTCGTCGACGGGGACCCCATGAGTTGGGACATGCATCCATTTGTTTACTCGTAATAACACATGCAATATAGCAGAAAATCAAGGTTCAGAATTCCCCGCTTACATAGTAAATCCCGTCTCAATCACCATCTCTGCTCTTGTTACGGTATTAGTAGTCTCACAGGTCCAAAATCAAGGTAGCCAAACCATCATGCCTTGTTTCCTCCCCAGCAATCCAAAATCGCTACCAAGCCACACGGCGCCCGCGAAATGTCTCGGAGGTTGCAGCGACGACACAGGTCGCATCACGAGGTCTCTCCCGCCCGCCGCGCTGTTGCACGTGGGTGAACCGCCACCATCCCTCCTCCCCTCTCTCCCTCCGCGGGTTTGTTTGGCCCGGCTGAGGCTACATCGCGTGGGCCGCAATCGCAATCTGTCATCACTCAGAACTTAGAAGGGAAGTCTCCCTCGGTCGTTGTCTATACCACTTTACTCCAGATTGAGGTGGAGAGAAAGAAAGAGAGAGCACGCCCACGCCTTCTCTCGCCTTACCTCGTTCGCACCAAACTCAGCTTTCGACCAACGGCCTATCACGCCTTGCGTTTCTGTCACTAGTCAAAGCATGAACCGCGCAGTAGCACACCACTAGAGAGATTGAGAGAAAGGTTCAAGTGTAGATCAGGGTTTAATCCGCTCCACGGCGATTGCTCAATTATGCACAGGGGTTGGTCCGCAGTCCGAAATTTGAAGCCACGAGTCGGGACGAACGGCGGTCTTCGCCATGTTAAAAGTCAATTCAGCCCTCTTCATTTTGACTCAACTACGTTTTGCGCTTTGACAAGACTGGC